AAGATAAGGAGGGCAGGTTGAAGGTGCGATGCCGACACCTGAGACTCTAGGTCACTCACCCACTTCCTTTGTAAGTGTTTACGTCACTAAAGTGTTCCATGTCTGACAGGATTATGTTGAAAACACTTTATTTATTTATTGCCCTGCGGAAATAACGATCATTTTAAAAATGATTTCAAGAAGAAGTGTCTCTTTTAACGGGAAAGAAAACTTTCTTCCTTACCTTTTTCAACATAGCATGAGTTTAAACAATAAAAACATTACCCAGTGCAGCAAACACAGCCTTTTTCACATCTTTTCATCCAAATGAAAGAAACATAAACAGCTAATTGTTCACTTCGCCAATCTGGGTCAAGCTGCAGGGGAATAAAGCCTCCCGATGAATGCATCGTCTCCAGTTACCTTCTCTCTATAACCATTTTCTTACTGACAGGCTGTTGAGTGCTAAAGCAAACATAAGCTGTATTATATTTTTCTTTAACAGGAATAACAGCTTGTAGTTTAAAATCTGTTTATAAAGATGGAAGAAAAAAAATATTTCTATGTATTTGCACCATTACTGATGATACTGTCCAGTCTATAAACCAATATATAGAATTATAGAATGGAATTAAATTTTATTCTCATTACATTGTTACACGTACAAAGCAACAAAATTTACCTCTCTGCGTTTAGCCCCTCCCCTTGGGGAGCAGTGGGCTGCCATGGTGTGGCGCCCTGGGAGCAGTGTGGGGTTAAGGGTCTGGCTCAGGGACCCAAAGTGGTAGTCTGTGGGAGTGGGGCTTGAACTCAGAACCTCAGAATTCCAAGCACAGTGCTAGACCCCCCCCCCCCCCCCCCATCTCAGTTCTCTCTTAGTATTTTATAGTTTAATTTAATAAGTGAAAGGAATAATAAAAACTGCTAGTTGGTTCCACAGGAGAGGAGCCTGATAACTAAAAGATCTGCCTCCCATTCTACTTTTAGAAATTCTAGGAACCACTGCATTTTTTTTACTTTATTATCTGAAATCAGTTTAATCCCATCCAAATGAAGTGACTGGCTAATCAGTTTCTTTTTCAGAGACTCTGGTCCAAAGACTATAACTTCTGTTTTGTCTGCATTCAGAAGCAGAAAGTTAAGAGTCATCCAGGTTTTTATGTCTTCAGACATGCCTGTAATCTATGTAATGGGTTAGCTTCATCTGGATTATTGTTTTTGATCAGGACCTGTCATTTAAATCCCATATCAAAGAGGTTTCTAGAATTTCCTTCTTTCATCTGAGGAACATTGCAAAAATGAGCAATCTCCTGTCCAGGGGTGATGCTGAGAAACTAGTCCATGCATTTGTTACTTCAAGGCTGGACTATTGTAATTCTTTACTATCAGGAAGTCCACAAACTGTAGTTAAAAGCCTTCAGCTGATCCAAAATGCTGCAGCCAGAGTTCTAATGAAAATGAAAAAGAGAGATCATATCTCTCCTATCCTGGCTTCTCTTCATTGGCTTCCTGTTAAATCAAGAATAGAATTTAAAATCCTCCTTCTCACATATAAAGCCTTAAATGGCCAAGCTCCATCTGATATCAGAGATCTGATTGTTCCTGATGTTCCTAACAGAGCACTTCGCTCTCAATCTGCAGGTTTACTAGTGGTTCCTAGAATTTCTAAAAGTAGAATGGGAGGCAGATCTTTTAGTTATCAGGCTCCTCTCCTGTGGAACCAACTACCAGTTTTAGTCCGTGAGGCAGACACCCTGTCTACTTTTAAGGCTAGGCTTAAAACTTTCCTTTTTGATAAAGCTTATAGTTAGAGTGGCTCAGGTTATCCTGAGCTATCTCTATAGTTATGCTGCTATAGGCTTAGACTGCTGGAGGACATAGGGACCCCTTTTTCATCATTCTGCTTCATTCTATCTCTATTCTCCCACTCTGCAGAATCTGTTAGTTCAATCTCTAACGTTCTGCTCTCTCTGCTTTTTCTCATAGTAGCTTCATCTGGTCTGTTCCTGTTTGGCTGTGACTCCATCCTGGAGAGAAATATCAGCTGTGCTGCTGCCATCAACACCTTTGTTTCTAGATGTTGGAGCTTGGCCTGTTTTCCAGTGTAGTCCTGTTTCTCTGACTGTGACTAACTGGATGTGCTCTCTTCATCCTCTGACATGGGAGCTGGCTCGGAGCTCGTCTGCCTGGCTGTGTGTTTCCTGGACGGGGCCGCCTGTGGAGCTGGTTGACAGTTGCCTTTTGTATCTATGCTTCTTTTTCTATGTCTGCTTCTCTCTCCTTGAACCCCAGTGGGCCTCAGCAGATGGCCGCTCACACTGAGCCTGGTTCTGCTGGAGGTTTCTTCCTGTTCAAAGGGAGTTTTTCCTCTCCACTGTCGCTACAAGCATGCTTAGTGTGAGGGATTGCTGAAGAGTCAATGAGTCGATGCAATCAGCTGGTTTTCCTTAGATAGAAAACTTTGAATCAATCTGACTGGATGACCTGGTTGAACTGGAAAGTGACCTGAGATGACATGATGTGAATTGGAGCTATAGAAATAAACTGAAAACACAGAGATCTAGCAGGATAAGCACAGATACAGTCCATAATCTGAGGCCATGAGAGAATCATTAGTATCATGGTCTTGGCGCCAATGGTTGACTTTTTCCATTTTCTCCTGCTCACCGTTCCCTTCGGCCCAGTGGCTGATTAACGCCGGTTGTTTCCACCTGGTTCCCTCAGCAACAGATTATTTGAGATATTGGAGTTTTTGCCTTGCCTCGTATGCTCTGTCTGTTTTTGGCTTTTTATTGTCTTTCCTGTGTTTTGCTGGTTACCGATCCTGGACTGTTTCACTGACCTCAGCTCGGATTCCCCTAACGGACCCTATTGCTCCCTCAGCGTCGGCTCATCTTCACTCAGGATACTGGAAGCAGCTACGGCTGCAAGCGATGGACTGACGCCCAGCTGCTCGCTGTAACCTGCGTGTTTATAAATAAATCCTGTTGAAAATCGCTGTGGTCTGTCTGAATATTGGGTCCTAGTTTCTGATGTCATTAGTGACTTTCACCAGAGCTGTTTCAGTGCTATGATGAGCTCTAAAGCCAGACTGAAACTCTTCAAAAAGTTCATTATGGTGGAAGGATTTTAGATCAGAAAGGAAGATTGGATATAGGTCTATAATTGACCAAGTCATCTGGGTCAAGAGGCGGTTTCTTAAGCAAAGTCTTCGGTCCTCCTAAGAACATTAAGAGCCATAAGCAAATCAAAGGCCCGTTCTCATTGGTTGCTCTAAGCTTTGTTTTGCATAGGTTTTTGGGTTTGGCCATTTGAATATCACACCTCAAGAACATCATCCCTCCGACTACAGAACGCTGAGGTTACAGAATTGATAAAGGCAATGCATTGAAATGTTTTTCAGAAATACTGTTTGAAATTTGATTTAAAACTGATTTAAAACTGATTTATGGTTGCCATGATCCAGCTGACTGAGAATGCACCGGTTGGTGAAAGGGTGTGAAAAGATCCATCTATAGTTTTCATTGTTGAAATAGTGAAAAACATCACATTTGTTCTAAAATCTGACAGATCTTATCAGATTTTAATGACCAAGATAATGTTTTACGACGTCCAAAGTGTGCTTACAGCTCGATCTAAAACATTAGTGAAAGAACAGCATCATTACAGCTGATATGTCAGGGAGAAAGTTGAGTAGAAGTTTAAAAGACATTTAGGTCATAAAACATTATCAGCAGCTTTGTACATTTCACAGAACACAGTTCAACCATCATCTCAACATCTATGTATGGCTATCTATGTTAACCGAGGCTGGGGAAGGAGAGCTTTAATAAAAGATGCAAAGTGACCCTTTCTGCAGAAGCAATCTAGATCCTCGGTTTAGGCTGAATAATAAGCTGTTAAAAATACAACTAACAGTTCAGCTGCTTAATGGTGTAAAAATACAGAAAAAGATGTGACTCTTTGTTCTATTCTAATTTTTAATCATCTGCCGTAAGCAGCTTCTGAGTTACCGAAATCTAACCCTGGACATCAGTCGCCCTGAATGCACCTACTGCTCTGAAAAACATGGTGGTGGCAGCATCATGCTGTGGCGAAGCTTTAATTCAGGGAGGTGGAAAGCTAGTCAGACCTGGAGGTTTTTTATGGTAATAGCTTAATGACTTTAATATTCTTTATTTGCAAAACTGAGAAGGGCACGCCTGCAAAAAAAAAAATAAAAAATCTGGACCATAAAAGGTTTAAAAGTTTGAATATGAGGAAGAAATTCCAGTCTGACCTGCTGGAAAAACAGAAGAGGCTCTTAAGGACTTAATGTTGCCTCAAGTTTTAAAGCTGTAAACACATTTAGATTTTGTAAAAAAGTTATTTAAACCTGAGTGATTTTAACACATCAATAGTTTAAAAAGATTTTATGTTTACCATCTGCTTCACAAAGGCAGAAATATCACAGGTGGCCTTTAAATGAACACAGAGGAACCTCTGTAGCACAAGGATTATTGTATTTATCTTAACGGGGGGGGGGGGGGGGGGGGGACCGGTGCTAAGAGACGGGGGGACTTGTAATGCACATTGTGTAACCTGTTGTGTAAGAAATGTGCTGCAGTCTGTGGGAAGCTAGCCCCCCCCCCCAGCATTGATCGCTGCTCCGTCCTTCTTAGTTTTATTAAACATTAGCCTATCATTATTATCTTGTTGTAATCTGTGCAAAGCTTTAGTTACTTCCTTCATAATTCTCTTTGCTTCATTGTAATCTGATTACATCATAAATAAGGCAGAAGAAGCTGCTGATTCACACATTACTGGAATGACCTACAATAACCTTTGACCTATTTAGATTCCCTGCATTAAACCAGCAGCACTTCCAGGCTCTGATTGTTTCTGCTCCTTAATATTCCCATAGGCTCAGCTGCAGCATCTCTGCCCCATGGTGCACAGGCAGCCAGAGCTGCTCTGCTCCCATTGGTCAGGAGGCCTCGAAAGATCCGCTCGAAGTTCATTAGGCAAGAAGAGCGTTGGAGGGGGGTGGGAGGGGAGCGGGGACTGGCAGCTTGTTAGGCTTTTATCAACGCCTTCATGCTTTTATAAGGCAGCTGGACAGATCCGGAGGGGAAGGCTCTGCTGATGTGACAGAAGGTGGAGAAGAGCCGTTAGGATCTGGATGCTGTAAGTTATATTTGTTTATAATTCACCATTTTCTGGGAAACAGACATGATCAGCAGGCGATTCTGGTCTGAGCTGCAGCAGAACAATTCAATGATCACTTATCCACAGCATATGCTGAAATAATCAACTAATAGATATGAAAGGACCAATGCCTGACTGGTTTATGTGTTTCTAAATGTTGATGCATGAGGACAGACTGGTCCTCTGAACAGGTGAATCCAGGCAGCAGCAGCAGGGAGGATGGGAGGAGGAGGACAGCAGACTGAGCCTGCAGAGCCAGGCAGCGGGAAGGCTGCAGGTGTTTACACCTGGGAGGAGGTGCAGAAGCACCGCAGCAGGAACGACCAGTGGCTGGTGGTTAACAGGAAGGTTTATAACATCAGCCAGTGGGCCAGAAGGCATCCAGGAGGCTCTCGGGTCATCGGCCACTATGCAGGAGAGGATGCTACGGTAAATACCTTCACTGCAGCACTGCTTGTGTTTAAAATCAGCTGCAGATGCATCATTTCACACAATCTGTTCTCCTTCCTGCATTCTACTGGAGGACACATTATGGGATCTATAACTATAGATGTGTTATCCAACAGATATCTGGAATCTATATGTTTTCATTATTCTGTTAGTAAAAGACTCTGAGGCATGAAGACTTTTTGATTTGATGCATTTTAGTTCTAACAACTGAAATTTCCACACCAACCTTTTATCATCGTCACGCATTTTCTCTTCTGAATCACTTTAAAAAACTGAAGTGGGAAAATATTAACACACAGAATCAGCCTTTGCTTTGGTCATTTTACTGCATATTTACCTTTCAGCTCTGCAAATGGTATTTCTGGCATTTTGTTGAGTATCTATAAAAAGTCCATCATAAAAATGTAATGTTCACAGTAATAAAGCTTGAATGCTTCTTTGATTTAATTGGGGAGATATTTGTTAATCTTTGAGATTGCTGAATGAAGCTGTGACCTTTGAACAGATTCACTACGTGTAACTGAGCATGATCTGTGATAAACACACTACTTAATGCTTCTAAATGCACGTATCTATGTTGCCGTATGTCGTCTTGACTTGTCTGAGTGTTTTAATCTGTTCATGTCTATGACGTTAGATTAAATTATACAAATAGAATTACTTATTCTTAGAAAAGTTCTAATTTGACATGGAAAAAAGTGGATTTTTCAGCAGGCAGATTATTGATGACCTTGTTTTATGTTGGGTTGATACTGGATGTATCTGGCTGAGGAAATCTGCATTTTTATCAACTTCATCTAATTTAATCACTTCTTTAACTTCATTACTAGCCATGAATTTAAAAATTTTCTTCTTTTTAAGTAATGATTTATGGTACAATTTTGCAATGTTCATTTATTTTAGTATCTTACTTTACTTTTCTTTAATGCCAGTTAAAGTGTTTTAGTCCATTGGAAATGTGGGATGGGAATTATTAAAAGTTATTTTAATAAAAGCCATTTTATTTGGCTTTTATTCCATTTTTTTTGGACCTTAGCTGCCTTTTTACGACTTACTGTGAAGGACAGAAAGACGCACCGAATGTTTGCATAAACCTTTACTGGAAGAGAAAACTGTTTTCAAATCTAAAAAGAAAAAGTTATTTCTTTTACTTTAAATGAATGGAGACAAAACTGGTTTTAGAAATAATATTTTGATAAATTCCTGATTTGTAAGTCAGGAGGCAACAATAACTTTATTTTTTCTTTTCCACTCTGAGATCCGTTGTTTTGTATAAAGGTTGTTTTTCCTCATCTTTCAGTTTAAGATGATTTTTCTGCAGAAAGAAAGGAATACATTTAAAGTGTTTGCTGGTAGATCTGCAGATTCTCTCAGCAAAGCTTTGATTTCCATAAAGTTGCAGCACGTGGCTCCCAGACCTCAGCCTACCTCAGGGATTGCTGCCTTCATCTTTTAAACAGCTTTCCTCTCTGCTGAAGAGCTTTAATCTTTAAATCTACATTTTTTTATTTTTGTTTTGCAGGAAGTTTTTGCGGCTTTTCATCCGGATCAAAAGTTTGTGCAGAAGTTTCTGAAGCCTCTGCTGATTGGAGAGTTGGTGGCGACGGAGCCAGACCAGGATGGGAACAAAAATGTATGACCTCATTTCCAACTTCCTCACATTTCTTTCAGCATCACTGCTGGTTTATTTTCACCCCTAATTTTCCTTTGATACGTTTGCATCGCATGATGACTGGACCACTGGATTCGTATCTTTAACTTACTTCTTGCTGTTGCATCATTCTGATGAGGCCATGATTATCTGCTTTTCCAGAGATAGAAAGTTTCCATGCATCACATGTGTTTAATGAATCTATTTAGCTTCTGTTCTTGGATTGAATCCACATGCCAGGTGTCCGTCGAACACATGATGGCTCTTCAGAGCAGGAGTCAGAAACCTTTATGCTTCTGTGTCGCTTAGCTCCATAACGTTAAAAATTGCATCATTTATGTGATAAAAAAAAAAATAATTTTTTTTGATGACCCAAATTAGTGATAGGTCCATTAACACTGATGTGTGGGTGCGTGCCTGGAGCCCAAAGAAACAAACACTGTAACGGGATCGTTTCCAGGAAGTCATGTGACTGATCAAGGAGCTGTTTCCAACTGATGACTCACTAAACTGGGTTTAAAACGTTTCTGTCAACATGATGCATCTGCTGGAAAAATGTCCAATTTTTTGTGGTTTATCATTAAAATGATCCAGAATTTTGGAGCCTAAAAGGAATAGGATCGCTTCAGCTGTTGCATTTTGATCTTAATTTTCTCGTTGTTTTATCCTTTTCCTCTCAGTTATCACTCAACTTATCTGAATTAATGTTAATTTCAAATTGAATCTTATTTACCATTTTTACTGCACTTATTGTTTTAAAAATATGATTTAAAATCCTAGTCAACAAGCATCCTCATTCACATTTTCCCCTAAATTTTCACTTTTATATGTTTACATTATTTATTTCCTGCATCAAAAAATATCAAAGATATTTAAAATTTAAACGAATGATATGAAATAATACAATATAACCTACAATAAGTTCAATAATATCATTGTTCCAGGTCATCAAATCAATTCAGTTTAGTCTGTCCAGTCAGCTGGCTGTAGTGTCTTCAAATGTCCAGCAGGGGTCAGTATGCTGTGAGACAGTTTTAATGAAGTATCAATGCAATTTGTCGAAACGCTTCAAGATGCCTCATTAACCGTCACTAACCCGAATGCAGAGGCGAGGAGGCTGAGGTCAGATCTTAAAGACTGAATGAAATTACTCTCAGGCAACTGAAGCAGGAATCCAAAAATCCAACATTAAAAAGTACAGAAAAAACCCCCCACCAGACATCAGGGAGGACATGCATGAGGAGCGAGGGGAGGACGAGGAAGCAGCCCTGAGGAACGGTTTATATGGCAGACTGAACAAAGACTGGACTAATGAGCTGATTGGGAGCAGGTGTGAACAGAGGAGTCTAGGAGGAGCTACGGAAAAATAAGACCAACACCAGAGGGCAGCAGAGGGCAATCAGGAAGAACCTAAGAACTCAAATATATCCAGAAAACACAACAACATAGGAATTAAACCAATAAAACTAGAAAACAAAGGAAAACATGGATCACAGTGAAACTGAAAACTCAAAGAAAACTTAACAGAACAAAGACTGTGACATTTTTTATTTTTATTTTTTCCTACACTGTCCTGTCCGGCGATGTGGCAATAAGGATAATTGTCTTAATGACAAAAAGATTTTACTTTCACAAGTGGAGCAGTACGGCTATCGCCATAGTGTCCCGCTTGATTTATGCATATAAATAGCTTTATTATAATCATGCAGGGAGTTTTACAGATTATATGGACACTGCAATGTAAGTAGAACAGGAAAGAAAAACAGGAAAAAGGATAAAAGATGAAAGAAAGAGGAGATAAAAGGGAGATAATAATAAAACATCTTCAGTCTGCTTCATCACCTGCAAAGAGATGGAAAAACAACAATCAGAGAGTTTAGCTTTTACTGAGCTCCATATAGTTAAAGATTGCATAATTTAAATTATTTTAAAAAACAATGTTGTATTTCTTCTCTGCTCAAAGGCGGAAATCATCCAGGATTTTGAAAAGCTGCGCGAACGGGCAGAGAAAAGAGGACTTTTTCAGGCTCAGCCTTTATTCTTCTGCCTTCATCTGGGACACATCGTGCTGCTGGAGGCGCTCACCTGGTTCCTGCTCTGCTACTGGGGAACAGGCTGGATAATGACCATACTGGCCTCAGTCTTCCTCGCAACTGCTCAGGTCTTTTTCACACTAAATGTTCTCCTTGTTATTGAACTTTCTGGAGGTCACATTGAACCTTCTGCGTTTCTCTTCTAGTCGCAGGCTGGATGGCTGCAGCATGACTTTGGACACCTTTCTGTCTTCAAGAAGTCCAAATGGAATCACCTGGTCCATAAGTTTGTCATTGGACATTTGAAGGTAACATGACAGAAATCTGTTGTGTTTCTCTGGTTCTGTGTCACCTTTCCTGTCTGTTGTTCCTTCAGGGAGCTTCGGCCAACTGGTGGAACCATCGACATTTCCAACATCACGCCAAGCCCAACATTTTCAGGAAGGATCCTGACATCAACATGATGGACATCTTTGTACTTGGGAACACTCAGCCAGTGGAGGCAAGCGGCTGGATGAAGGAATGCATTTCTAAATGCTTTTCAGCTCATTGACCTCCCCGCTTCTCTTTGTTACAGTACGGCATTAAAAAGATCAAACACTACCCCTACAACTACCAACACCAGTACTTCTTCCTCGGTAGTTTTGCTTTAAGACATTTAAAGATCATTTTAGAAAAAACAGAAAACTGCTCCAGAACTAACTGCTATGTGTGTTTCAGTGGCGCCACCGCTGCTCATTCCGGTTTTCTACAACTACAACATAATGAAGACCATGATTACTCGACGTGATTGGGTGGTAAGAAGCCCGCCTCCCAGCCGCACCAATCAGTTTATATACTTTCTGAGTGGAAATTTACATTTTTTAATTTCTGTTTATCTGTGGAAGGATCTAGCCTGGGCTTCTACCTACTACATCCGTTACTTCTACTGCTATGTGCCGCTGTACGGCGTGTTTGGCTCATTGGCACTCATGACGTTTGTAAGGTAAACGCACTGTGAACTCTGACATGTCATAGTAGACTAGATGAAAAAAAATGTTAGGACAGATGGTAAAAGTTTAACAGGTTTATTGGAGGTTAGCAAACACTGATGGAGATTGAAACTCTGTGGGGAAATAATGCTGGAACTCAGCGGACTGGTGAACCAGAACCGGAAGGGGAGATCACAGTGATCAGTTCAGGGACAGTGGGAAAATAGACTGAGGCTTGAATATTGCTGGAGAGTCACTCACTTTTGGGGGGCTCTTGGGTTATCCTTGGATCCAGTTTGTGGGGGTTTAATCCAGAGAAGAGGGAACTCGTTGGAGAGCGGAGAGGCAGACATACGTTGGACCCAGAGGAGTAAAGGAGCGAACTCTCACTTGGTTTTCTAGAAGTGGACTGGAACGGATCATGTGGAGGTTTCCCCCTTGCTCAGTGAGACTCAGTAAATCCTTCCAGGGGTAGAAGGTCCAGGCTTATCCAGTAACACATGAACTCTTCCTGCCAAAGAACAAAGACAAAAAACAAGTTCAGACTCAGAGAGTCAAGGCTAAGGTTAGACTCTGCTAATCAAACGCTCTGGCATCGAGGTGCTGACAGCCCGCTGCTCAAGTACTCCTCTGGTAGTGACCCAACGAGCCGCAGGTGTGCAGGGAGGCCCAATGAGGACAGGGCACCTGTCAGACAGCAGCTGTGGTGGGGAGAGGAAATCACAAAAAACAACCCACGCAAACTGGAATCCTAACAAGATCTATAAAATCAGACTAGAGTGACAGACTTTTCTGGGTATTTATAGAGATGAAACATTTTACTGGAAAACACAAAAAGAATCCAACATTACAGAATATAATTTAAAGCATTTTGAGAAGAGAGGCAGATAAATGTAAAAAGAATTTAAAGAACCATTAAAAAAGATATTTTTTTGGAATTGGAATTTGTTAGATGAGGAATATAAAAAAACAAAACAAAAGGCTTTTTAAAAAAAGGTAGAAAACTTTTTTCCGCTTTTTTTTTTGCTTTTCTTAGAAATGCATATTTTAAAATTGTGTGTGAGTATTATAAGCATCTGTTTAGTTTAATCTATACCCAATCAGTTCATCACATGATTAAATATCCTGTATGTATTTTGCTGTGTAATACGCAGATCCAATAAAGAGCTACTGCTACTAGAACAAACACAAGCAAAAAACTTTACATATTCATTTTCATCATATGCACATCATTTATGTTGGAACTGTGCTCAGGGACAAAGACTAAAAGGGGAAAGGAGCAATAAAAAGACAGATACCTTCATTTCTGCTTTATATAATGATTTTAAAGAGATTAGGATCGGGGGGTGGGGGGGTGGGTGGGGGGGGGGGGGGTCACCATTAGGCAATACTAGGCAGCTCCTGGGGCCCCAAGTTCCTGGGGGCCCCATAAAACTCTGTTTCCATGTATGGTTAATACAACTATTCCTTATTTCTGCACATTAATTATGTTTTTGATAAAAACCCTTTGGCTAAAATGCCATCAGAATGCTGATATTATCAGGTGTGTGAGCAGCGAACTCTGCTCTCCAGAGCGAGTAGATTGGTAACCCCGCCTCCTGCTCTCCTCTATCTTGTCTGCTGTCATGATTCATGCAGCTATTATTTCATCCAAATGACAAATGGAGAACAGATAAGCAGATCATGGCTTGTCTACAGTGAAAAGAAGGACTGGGTTATTTACTTTGGCCTTTTTGGAAACACAGGAAGGAGCAATCAGCTAAGTGAGCTTAGTGCTTGGAAAAAATCTTTCATTCCTTTAGAGACAGCATGAAAAGTCAGCTGAGTACAAAACATAGAGAGGAAAGCAAGAAGAAAAGGGACAAGAAGAGAGGGACACAACCTAGAACAGATAATGGATGTCTATTCTATTAACATTTCTACATCTGGAGAATGGGGCTGTTCTATGTGTTGTCTTCTCCATGCAGAGGGCCCCATGCCTGTCTTTGCCTAGGGCCCCACATTTCCTTCATCCTCCCCTGGTTAGGATTCTCACTGATGCTGTTTCAACCCACAGGTTCTTAGAAAGCCACTGGTTTGTGTGGGTGACTCAGATGAGCCACCTGCCAAAGGAGATCGATCACGAGCGACGCCAAGACTGGCTGACCATGCAGGTATACCATCCATGTTAAATATATGTGCTTATTTATCTCAACCAACAGATGATCAGTTTTAGTTCTATAGCACATTAGTAGACAACTAAAAGCATTTTAAATTGTAAAAACATAAGAAAAATCCAGAAAAAAGTCAATTTTAGTGACATATGGAAGGAAAGTAAATAAAAGGGTTATTCCAGGCTGAAATTAATGATGTTTTAGATCATTCGTTTAAATTAGACCACAGTCAAATCTCCCGACAACAACTTTAACCTTAATTTAAAGCAGCTGAGGGTTTTAGCCTCACTGAGGGAGGTTATTCCAGATTATTCCAGACTGTTTAACGCAGAGACCTGATAGATCTGCATGAGTCAATCACTGACAGCAGGTCTGTGATGGAGGGTGGTGCGAAGCCGTGCAGCGATTTACAGACTAACAGAAGGATTTCAGTAATGGAGTGATGTGCTTTTCTTTTTGATTTTAGTGAGAATGCAGGCAGCATCATTCTGCATCAACTGCAGACGGCTGATTTTTAGGCTGACCTAAAGACACAGTGATCAATTCTGCTAAATTTACATTTTATGTAAGGTTCTGCTGGGACATTAGTTATAAGTCATATAAGGAACAAACATTTTAATTAATTAGTAGAAAATTAAATCAATAGAAATGTTGCTTTGAAAGATAGAATAAGAACGATTGGTAAAAATATTTATTAATTAAAAAGGATTTTACTGACAAAGAAGTGAATTTTAAAACGTTGGTTTTATTGTTCACTGATATTAATGCTGTGCTTTATATAAACCTTTTTGTCCTTGTTTTAGTGAAGTTTAAAGGTGTTTTTGTGGGTCAGCCTGCGGTTCATCCTTATCTCAGCTGCTTCTTATCAGTTGTGTGCTGATTCTCCTGCTGCCTCCTGCTAACCCACACAGAGCTGCTGTCTGATTCACAGAAATAAAATAGCTGGAAGTTAGCCGCTGTTCTCCAGGCTGACAAAGACAAACAGACTTTTTTATTAAGCTTCAATTCCTGGAAAAAGTCGACGGTTTCTGGGAATGCTGCCGAAAAAATGACAAACAATAAAGTTTGTTTAAGTTCAAACATTTTGCATCTCAGGCTTCCTTCTGAGATAATTGGATTGTTTTTATAATTGGATAATTTTTATGTAGTAACTCTAATTAGTTTTTAACTGTTATAACAGGTTTACTGTATTTGCTGCCCTGTAATTGGAGTAAATACCTCCCAGTGCGGTACGACCTGTGCCATAGTTCCCATCCACATCCGCAGAGTAAAGGATACAGAAGTGAACAAAGTATTTTACATTTCAATTTATTTTCTTCTGATTTGATTTCTGTTGCATTTAAAAATGTTTTTTATTCCTTCAGCTGTTTCATTTCTGCACAGAATAGATGCAGCTTTTTTATGTAGGTCTCAGATGTTTGATTGGAAACAAACAGTCACTGGAAAAAATAAAAATGTTGATAAGTCTTTTTTTCTTAAAATAAGTGCATTTGTTCTTGGATTGAAGAGATAAAAGAGACACTTTTCTGATGGAACAAGACAATTTACATTTAAAATAAGAAAACACAATTGCATTGTCTTATTTAAAGTGCATATTATCTAATTATCTTATTTTAAGAGTAAAAATACTCATTCCATTGGCAAACTACCTCATTTACCTACTCAAATTAAGGGTAAATACACTTTTACTTATTTCTAGAAATTTTTCCAGAGTGAGAAACAAACCAAAAGAGTGTTTTACAAAATGACAGCAAAATGCCAAACCTGAGCAGAGAGCAGGAATCAGAGAAGCTCACCTGGTTCCAGCTCTGCTATGGCAGCTTCTCTACGTGGAAAAGGTTAAACATGGAGGCAGCGACATTCTGCTTTAGCAGGGACAAGCTAGCTGCGCACCATACTCTAATATGCAATAGAAATAAAATAAGGCAGAAAAATGCCAACCTCTTTTATTGCTGCGATACTTTAATAAAATCACAATAAAATCCTTTGAAATGTTTGCAGTGGGTCACAATATGAAAATATGTGAAAATATTCAATCATGTTGATGCAATCACTACTTCTTTTCCTCTGTTTCAGTTACAAGCTACATGTAACATTGAGCAGTCCTTCTTCAACGACTGGTTCAGCGGACACCTCAACTTTCAAATCGAGCACCAGTGAGTCTAATAACTTCACTCTGGGGCTGCAGACGTCATTTTCTCAGATATTTGGGACGAATTGGCAGATGGCCGCTCACACTGAGCCTGGTTCTAATGGAGTTTTCTTCCTGTTCAAAGGGAGTTTTTCCTCTCCACTGTCACTACAAGCATGCTTAGTGTGAGGGATTGCTGAAGAGTCAATGAGTCGATGCAATCAGCTGGTTTTCCTTAGATAGAAAACTTTGAATCAATCTGACTGGATGATCTGGTGAACTGGAAAGTGACCTGAGATGACATGATGTGAATTGGAGCTATAGAAATAAACTGAATAGAATTGAATCAAAGGTTTTTTTATTTTGTGGAAGAAACATTTTGCCATTCAGAGAGATTAAGTCTTCTAGTCATTCAATAAATGTGACTCTTTCAAAGAGCTCATGTCTTATTTTCAGATTAGCTGTAAATCTGCTCCGTATTCATTCTGCTTCTCTTTCTCTAGTCTGTTTCCCAGAATGCCGCGCCACAACTACCAGCTGGTCGGCCCGCAGGTCCGCCAGCTGTGTGAAAAACACGGGATTCCTTATGAGACCAAAACCCTTTGGCAAGGCATGGCCGATGTGGTCAGGTAGTGACACGATAATCATGGCTGCTTGCAGTCATAAACAGGATAATCATCAACGGTTCGTCTTTATTTATAATGTTCTTCTGTGATTTTTCAGGTCGCTGAAAACGTCAGGGGAACTATGGCTTGATGCTTATCTTCATAAATGATGAGCTGGAAATGTTGCTTCTGTCATCTAGTGTGAAAATCTAATTGATGATCCTGGAAGAATGTTTTTCAGACTTTATGATAAAATAAAACCTTAATCTTTAGTGAGCACTGGATCTTTGAACTCCTTTACATCACTACCAATGTTTTAGGTAAAACTCTGATTTTTGACTGACTCATTAAAGATGTTTACAATAAGAGATGAATCTTTCTTTATTTCCCAGATTGGAAAAGAAAATGAAACTTTAACAGAAGAATATCAAACCTGGACTTTGCAGATAAAAGTATTAAAGTAGGACGACCTGCAATGAAAGATACCACTATTTTAAAGTTATTAATTGAAGTTATTAACTCCAGTTACATACAGTAACTAAACATACATCTAAATTCCTTTATGTGAAACAAATGATAGACAATTATTCCAACTCCTGATCAAATATTAGATCAGTTGTTGGTTATGATGTAATTAAGGTCATAAGTGCAAAAATATGGAAATCTGTAAATTTTAGAATGATTTCCAAATATTGTCGACATTAGAGGTGAAGTTAGGTTATCTATCTGCACAGGTGTCATTTATAATGATCATTACCTTAAAGCCGTAGGGAAGTCATATTTAAAAGTCAAATTCTGGCTTTAACATCTATATAAATGTTCTCTTTATCAGACCATATTGTCCCAAACTTTAGAAAATTTCTATTTAAAAAAAAATCCTATCTTAAAATCTGTTTTCTCCGTCATCTTCTGCAGGCCAGTTAGTTCTACGTCAGCCTGAACACCTAAATTCGGCCAATCATATATCAACGGTCATCTGTCAATCAAATGTTTTCGGTCATAGCATCTTGATTCATGTGTCGCAGCTAATATACGCAACGGTTGAAACCAGAATCCTTTCCTTTCCCATTGAGTTGCGTCCCAGTGTTCACGGGGATGGACGTCTGTGTCTTCGGCAGGCGTAGAGCTAACAGAACTGGCAGCGTTGCGAGGCAAGGGCTCAAACATGGACGGCTGGAAGCCTTCTACACCAAACCAAGCTTCTGCCGCCCTGGCGTCCTCTTCCACAACATCTTCGTCCCCGCTTTCCTCCTCTAAATAAAAAATGGATGACGGAGGAGACTCATCCACGACCTCCGACACTAAACTCTCCTCCTCTTGCATGTTTCCTCTGTCCATAGCGTTCCTTGACAGCGTCGTTTCTAAGTCACCAATTTAGTGCTACTTGGTCCCAATGGAATTTCCCATTGGGAACCTGCTAGCACTAAGTTGCTAATCCGCTTCCCTACGACTTTAATGAGACGGAAGCTTTTGCTTCTTGGATTCCTCATTTTGATCGTCATCGTTTATCAATCAATTTATCTCTATTATAAACTACAATTTGCATTGTAATCAAGATTTCAGTTTCTGTACAGTTTTATATAAACATATATTTACAAAAAGGCAAACAAAGGGAATGTAGTGGAGCTTTGAACCTGCAGAGCATGGCGTGCATCGTGGTCCGCTGACTCCAGCAAAGTGCTTTTCACTTGGAAAAATAAGAAAAGGTCATTTGTTTTCAAACCTTCAAACCAACAACTAAAGTTTTTTTCCTGCCAAATGCTGGTGGACATTCTCAGTCATTAAAGTTATAGTCATTCCTAAAGTAAAAAAAAAGCAATCCCTCTAACGACCCCCTTTCAGAGACATAGACAGGTATGGGGCAATGCAGGCTAACAAAGAAGCCAAACGACCCCATTCCAAAGGGGGGGACCCGTTCATCCGTTTCTATCTGCATGTTTTCTAAACTAAAACCAGGCTTTGTTGGGCTGCTGGATAAAACCTGGAACTAAACGCTATTTTTGACATTTTGATTTCAAAAATCTTCCTGGATGGAAGAGAAACGTCTTCAGACTTGGAAACAAAGTCCAGAGGATTGATTTTTTTTTTTATCCTTTTGGAATTTCCTGCCAAATATATAACTTCATTCAAACTGTTCTTCTAGTAAAAAAATTTACTAATTCTCTCAAATAAAGTTTTATCAAGGAAGTGGAATGAACTGTTCACAAAAATAAAAAATGCAAAATATTAATATTTAATTTCTTTAATTATGTAAGTGAAAATATATACAACACCAAAAATTGTAATCTTCATTTCATTTTTTTTATATCCAAAAACCAATTTAACATTTCTACTTCTTACCTTATTGCCAATTGGTGCCATTTAAACAGTGAAATGCTAGGCTAACAACATTCAGTGCTGCACATATTTATTAGCACTCCTGGTTATTATGTGCGAAAAGCTTTTACTGCTGCAGCATCATTTTATACAGAAAACTAATTTATATTTGATGAAAAAACACAATTTAAACATTAATAGTTTCATCTTCTTTGTTACAAAATTAATGTACTAAAATTAGTAAGACTCCCAACAATATCTTTAAAGTCAAAAGGCTTCTTTATCCAATTGGAACTTTTTCTGGTTGATTAGAGAGTTAAGGGGAATTCTGGCTAAAATAAAGCAAATGACTGACAGGCAGCGTATAAACAGACTATGAGAGAGAAATGAACCTACTGACATAAACAGACTCTATAGGCGACAGTGGAAGCAGTCCTTGGACGGGACGTCCTGTCCACGGCTGCTCAGGCCCATTTCTCAACCTTTCTTTGTCGTCTATAAACCTGTGATCAGTACCTGAGGTCTTCCTGTTGAGCTGGTGCATAAATATGCCGTCAACCAAAAGCCCAATTTCACTGTTAAAGACGACAGATGGGAATCCATGATGTTCATAAAACAGCAACAATAAAAAAACCTTCAAAAGCTTAACGTCCTGAAGAGGCATCTGGTCCTACAATCCATCCTCCTATCCGGGGTCGGGTCGGGGGGGTAGCAGCTTCAGTAGGGAGGCCCAGACCTCCCTCTTTCCAGCCACTTGGTCCAGCTCCTCTGGGGGAACCCCAAGGCGCCCCCAGGCCAGCAGAGAAACATAGTCCCTCCAGCGTGTCCTGCGTCTCCCCCTGGTCCTCCTCCCAGTGGGACGTGCCTGGAACCCCTCACCAGGGAGGCGTCCTGGAGGCATCCTAACCAGATGCCCGAGCCTCCTCAACTGGCTCCTCTCCATGTGGAGGAGCAGCGGCTCTACTCTGAGTCCTCCCCGGATGACTGAGCTCCTCCCCCTATCTCTAAGGGAGAGCCCAGACACACTATGGAGAAAACTAATTTCAGCCGCTTGGATCCAGGATCTCGTTCTTTCGGTCATGACCCAGAGCTCCTGACCATAGATGAGGGGAGGAACGTAGATCGAGCGGAAAACACAGATCTTTGCCTTCTGGTTCAGCTCTATGTTCACCACACCAGACCGGTGCATCGCCCGCTTCACAGCAGACGCCGCACCAATCCGCCTATCGATCTCCCGCTCCATCTTCCCTTCATATGTGAACAAGACCCTAAGATCCTTAAACTCCTCCACTAGGGGCAGCACATCCTCTCCAACCCGGAGAAAGCACTCTACCCTTCTACGGCTCCAGACCATGGTCTCTAATCTTCATCCCGGCCGCTTCACACTCAGCAAACTGGACATGCAACAATTATTGAAACAAAGACCTTTAGAACTTCAGAAAACTCCTAAAACTGAAAAATAAAAACATTTTCCAACATAATGTGCATAAATACACGACTTTGTTGTTGCACAGACAATGAAGGGAAAGTTTTCTGTTAGAATATGCCAGAGCAATAAAAGGTGAGTTTATGTTATGTGTGGCCTGCTGCTATTAAAGGAAAAGGCCTCCTGCATGCAAAATATCAACAACATCAAGAAAAGCCTTTTTCCTAACATGAACTTGTTGTTTTCAACAATTCAGGTCAAACTTCTGCCTCACAGAACAAAAAAGTTCATTTATTTTCCATTTTTTTCTGTTAGCATCAACATGAAGATAATTGGCTTCAAACAGGAAGTATGTCAGATATCCTGGCACTGATTTCAAAAAGCAAAAACAGATCAGATGTTTCTACAAACACATTCTGTAAACGAGCGCATTGGAAGAAAGACGTCCTGCTTAGAGACGCGTTCCAACATGTCATGCAGGCTCCAAACTGTACATCAAGCTCCTCTCGTCAGCAGGACAGCTCTTCAATCGAAAAGGATGCGACATCATTTGGAAACATTTCAATAACAAACATTTTACATTTTACAAAATAAATATGAAATCAAACATGTTTAATCTTTTTGGTTTTAACTGAGGATCATCAGAAAAAGTTCGTTGATTATTAAGCTGCTGCACTTTGAAAGCTGCAAAGGAGGAAAGAAGGTAGACGAGGAGCAGAAGGATGCGCTGCTCCTCATGTTCAGTCCATGCTGCTCGTGGAGTCGGTCTTCTCCTGCCTCCGCCTCATGATTTCCAGCAGCTCAGAGTCACCCTGAGATCTCTGCAGAGAAACAACAGGATTCATCTTTCCGTTCTCTGGACCAGTTCCCGAACACAAGGACAATAAGACCTAGTTTTACTATAAAACCGCAGTTCTATTCAGTTTATTTCTATAGCTCCAATTCACATCATGTCATCTCAGGTCACTTTATAGATCCAGATCAACCAGATCATCCAGTCAGATTGGTTCAAAGTTTTCTATCTAAGGAAAACCAGCTGATTGCATCGACTCATTGACTCTTCAGCAATCCCTCACACTAAGCATGCTTGGAGCGACAGTGGAGAGGAAAAACTCCCTTTGAACAGGAAGAAACCTCCAGCAGAACCAGGCTCAGTGTGAGCGGCCATCTGCTGAGGCCCACTGGGGTTCAAGGAGACAGAAGCAGACATAGAAAAAGAAGCATAGATACAAAAGGCAACCAGCTCCACAGGCGGCCCCGTCCAGGAAACACACAGCCAGGCAGGTGACATGACATTTTGATCGGAAAACTTTTTTAGATGCTTCTTTCTTGCATCTCATCTTTGATCTTGATACTAACATGCCACCCTAATAGCAAACAGCCATTCTATGTAGAGATTCTATGTTTTTTAGCTAACATTCAAAGTTATAATGATTGGAATGATTTTATTTAACTGAACATTTCAATAACTCTGCATTTAATAAACATGACTGATCTAGCACTGATCTTTTCTTTTTACTCTCTTCACTGCCTCCAAAAATGCCATCCATATCATCAGGCATTATGTTTAACTTTATATGCATTTTATCATTTTGTTTACTTTAAATCTGACTGAGCTGAACCTAAAATGCACAAAGAAGAGTGATGTTATAATAAAGACAAGCTTTTGCTGAATTGCTGTTGCAGCAACTCACCTGGAGGTGGCAGCAGAGGGCAAATTTTGAGTTTAGGAGCATGTCTGCAGTTGAAGCTAATTAAACATGTTTAGAAGTTTTTTTTTTTACCCATCCTGAGAACTTCTAATTAAAACAAGGATCATTCTAGGTACTATATCTGGAGGCTTACTGTTTGCCTCTCTACAGTCCAATAATATGCAGGCAATGGCGGAGTCACAGAAACAGGAGTAATTAAATAAGAAAAGTTATAAAAACACAAATACTAAAACCAGTGAGGGGTGTGATATACACAAAAATCAAGTTTGTAGTCGTTCTAGTTTTAAAGTCCTAGTTTAGACACTTTGAATCAACAAAGGAATGTGACTAATAGCAGAGGGCTTCAGGTTGGCTGGATGGCTGGTCCAACACAGAGACTGAGGGAGCGAATAGATGAAAGCCCTAAATATACAAACAGCGTAAAGAAGGAGCAGTTTGTGGGATTTGAACCTGAGAGGCTTTTTGCTGAAATGCAACTGTCTACTTTTAAGGCTAGGCTTAAAACTTTCCTTTTTGATAAAGCTTCTAGTTAGAGTGGCTCAGCTTATCCTGAGCTATCTCTATAGTTCTGCTGCTATAGGCTTAGACTGCTGGAGGACATAGGGACCCCTTTTTCATCATTCTGCTTCATTCTATCTCTATAGTTCTGCTGCTATAGGCTTAGACTGCTGGAGGACATAGGGACCCCTTTTTCATCATTCTGCTTCATTCTATCTCTATTCTCCCACTCTGCAGAATCTGTTAGTTCAATCTCTAACGTTCTGCTCTCTCTGCTTTTTCTCATAGTAGCTTCATCTGGTCTGTTCCTGTTTGGCTGTGACTCCATCCTGGAGAGAAATATCAGCTGTGCTGCTGCCATCAACACCTTTGTTTCTAGATGCTGGAGCTTGGCCTGTTTTCCAGTGTAGTCCTGTTTCTCTGACTGTGACTAACTGGATGTGCTCTCTTCATCCTCTGACATGGGAGCTGGCTCGGAGCTCGTCTGCCTGGCTGTGTGTTTCCTGGACGGGGCCGCCTGTGGAGCTGGTTGACAGTTGCCTTTTGTATCTATGCTTCTTTTTCTATGTCTGCTTCTGTCTCCTTGAACCCCAGTGGGCCTCAGCAGATGGCCGCTCACACTGAGCCTGGTTCTGCTGGAGGTTTCTTCCTGTTCAAAGGGAGTTTTTCCTCTCCACTGTCGCTCCAAGCATGCTTAGTGTGAGGGATTGCTGAAGAGTCAATGAGTCGATGCAATCAGCTGGTTTTCCTTAGATAGAAAACTTTGAATCAATCTGACTGGATGATCTGGTTGATCTGGATCTATAAAGTGACCTGAGATGACATGATGTGATTTAGAGCTATAGAAATAAAGTGAATAGAAAACAAAGAACACATAAAAACTGTCCTGTAAAAAAGAAAAATCGAGAAAAAAGAATAATTTGCTTCAGTCTGAGGTTTCTTCATCTTCAGCTTAAATTTAGACTCTGATTTTCCTCAACTTCTCCTTCTAAAGGAACTTTGCCTGAAGGATCCCATGAACATGACAAAAACATTCCTAACATTATTTTTAATGTTTAGATTGTTTTTGGTTTTTGTTTTTTGATAAAGCAATGTGAAAAAAAGAAAAATAAGATAGAAACTGATATTTTGTTTCCAAGTGTGAATCTAATTGTATTAAATGACTTTGTTTTTCAGCCTAAGTGTCGCTCTTACTGTTCAAAGCTGTGGCGTAACCCAGCCCAGTCAAATACTTGATTTCATCACCACTCAGCCATTTCTCCCACTAAACCTGTATTCATTCCCTGGAACCTTGAAGCTGTCAACAACTCCTAGATCCCGAATTCACGCGTTGCCTCAACTTGTTCCAGCCTGTTATTGAGGTTGCATCCATTAAAAGAACAGCAGTTTCCTCAGCAGGATGCATGCAGATGTTACCAACCTCTACTAGTCCTTTCTGCAAAGACACCTGATTGAAGACACGACCCCCTTCTTCCCCACAGACGGCCTTCAGCTCCTCTTTGTTCAGGGAAAACAGCTGAGCTCCGGTCAGGATTCCCAAGCAATCTACGGTCCTGCAGAACGGACAGTGGGACAGATTATAATAACGGCATCATGTTTGTTCTCAGTGCAACACGGATTCCAGCAGGGAGCAAAATGTTGTTGAACCACAAAGGAACAGAAACATCTTTTTAAGGCTTCTAGGCATGTTGCTGCAGGAAAAAGCGGCAAAGCAATACATGGATTCCTCTGAGAGACGCCTCTCCAGTAGATTCAGATTAAAAAAGAAATAAACCCTTCAGTTAAACCAATATATGACTAATTATTAGCAAGTTATAGCTATAAACACCTTAGCCAAATCAAAGCTACTTCATTAACTGCTTCCCTCCTTTCCCTGAAGATCCTTTATTTCCACCTTTAACCAGGTTCAAAATAAAAGAAAAAAAATTACAAATTTTCTTTTTTGGAATGATTATGACCTGGATGACTGAGAATCTTCTCCAGCGTATTTCTCTCCTTCAACCAGGCTGCATCAGTTAAATGATTCTTTCATTTTAGCTCAGCTCATAGTAAAAACTGCCTACATGCCTATCACCTTATGCAACTAGGTTAAAGGAACAAGCAGCCGTTTTAATCTTCCTGCCGAGTTCAGAAACATGAAGACATGCGTTTATTGGATCCTAACTACAGACTCTATATCAGAGTCCTGAGCGGGTCGGATTTTTCTAAACTATATCCGTCTGCAGTGTTCAGAACTGAGACCTGCAACTATCTTCCTTTAAAACCCGGCCGGGTCCACAAGGACCCTTAAATTATAAAGTGAGACCGACTCGTCATCACAAAGTATTCAGACAGTAAATAAAACTAGCCTGACGCTCACAGCCAGAGCGCCGCACTGACAGGCTAACAGCTGAAAATAGGACGAAGTGAGGAGGTTTGACTCGTTGCTTAAATAAATACGGTTATCTAAATGTATTTTGTACAGTTTCTCTAGCCTAGTCCTTGTCAGGGTGGCGGGGGGGTCAGTGCCCATCTACAGCAGTCTGTTTTTCATCGTTAAATTCTTACTGTTGTGTTTTTAGGTTTAGACCGTTTTAAGACCTTTCAGGGACAACAGATGAAAAAATAGCATTTTGGGCGAATTCTGCTTATTAATTCCGTAAAAATTCAAAAAATATCCACTGGACTCGGTTTCCAAGATTTGAAGCCGTTTCGCCACCTTTCCAGGAAGCTTTCTCAATTCAAAATTTGAATTTTTACGGAATGACTATGACCTGGATGACAGAGAACCTTCATCAGCATCTGCTTATTAATGAACACTGTCCCTTTAAATAAATAAATCTCAATCTTTAGCAAAGGAACATGAAATCTAATCAAAATATTAAATTTAGGTCTATATTTATTTATTTATCCACTAATTAAACTCATTCTGTTCTTATTTCCAGCTGTAATACATCCATGGCACGTTGAAATAATTATTTCATAAGTTATTTATTGATTGTTTGTCGTCCCCAAACTTACGGTTTAGAGAATTCTTTAGCGGTGAGCCACGCCGTCACCTGCTCTGCGTCTGAGTGAGAGTTTAATGGCACCTGGGGGACGGTGGAGCGCTTTATCTGCACCTTTCTGGGCTCCTGCTTTTTGTTTGCAGTGATCTTCATCAACAGCTCGCTGTTCACCTCATCCATCTCTGCAGAGAAAACCATGCGGTGAAAAAGATGGAGGAAAACTTTCGTTTGAACATTGATGTTTTTTAGCTCGGCCTGCCGACTCACTTCTGTCTTTCTGTATTCCCTTGTTGAAGCTGTGGTTCAGCGATCCTGTTGGTGAAGCCATGTAGTCATTCTGCAATCACACAAACAAAGAACCCCCCCCCAGATAGATCAGGCTTCATCTTCGATGGCCAGTTCAGTTTCAAAATAAAAGCCAGAAGCAAAATAAAGGGAATGCTTCTTTGCTGCGTCTACATTCCATCCGCAGGAGGTGGAACGGCGAGAAAAGATTAATTTCTGATTTTATTCATCTACTGATGATGATTAACTATTAGAAATAAATATGGGAGCTGAGCGAGATATTGGACATAGAGGTTCTTTTTTCTAAAATAAATAAATTATTCATCTATCATATTTTATGAAAACTGGAAAAATCAACAGACGTCGATTAAATATTTAAAACTTTTTCACATTTAATCTCTGGTACAATCAAACTGAAACAACGATTACATTAGAATACAGCAGGAAGAAAAAGGCTGATAAAAGCTGGTGTGCGTCTCTTTTATTACATTAAATAAAATCCAGCATCTCATCTCTAAGCTTAGCAGAACATTATTTTTTCATTCTATTCTATTCAGTTTATTTCTATGGATTCACATCATGTCATCTCAGGTCACTTTACAGAAACAATTCAACCAGATTATCCGATCGGATTAAAGTTTTTATTCTAAGAAAACCAGCTGCTTGCTGATTGGTTCTGCAGATCTACCTGTTGTAGCTCTGCAGGTAACAGCTCAGATTTTCAATCAACTAGTTCTGAAAGTCAGAAATTACTTTTATTCTTTTTAACAGAATGCTTAAGAATTTAGGATACATAAATAATGTAATCCAGTTTTCAAAGCTTTTTAATCTCAGATTAAATTGATCTTTGGTTGAATTATTTGGGATCTTTGTCTTATTTAAAGCAAAAAGTGTTTTAAAATATAGGCATGCACAGCATCCTAAAACGGTCAGCTAAATGAAACTAAACTTTTTTAAAGCGGAAATCTTTCCTGAAGATGCTGCAGTTCAAGCAGCTTCTGAGAGGGAAGCTGGACCTGCAACATCTCCTCAGGCTCAGAGGCAGCAGGTTTACATGCAAAGTCAATGGTTGACGCTCATCAAGGAGCAGCAAAAGGTCCTGCAGCGTCTAGAGCAGCGGGAGCATCGCATCACGAGCTTCTGAGCATCTGAGGTACGTGACGCGCCGTGAAAGCAGCAGCTGCTGGAGTTGGAGAAATGTAACTTTATCTGCTGGACGCGCCTCATCAACCAATGAGAGAAGCTGATCTGGGAGCTGGCAGGGAGTCAGACGCAGCCCTGCTGATGCAGAGCGCTTTGATCACTCCTCTGAAACAGTTTATTAACGCCTAAATTAACTTCAAATGTAGAAACCTGCCGGCAGAATATGTTGGCTTTTATTATCCTGCTGCCTGCAGTTTGTAGCACAGACCTGAAAAACGCTAACATCTACTTCCAGCCGCCACCAACAGGAGGGGAAAACCCTGGAGAGGCGAGCGGGCCTGAGGCAGCTGCTGCTGGGGATTCCCAGTGACAGCGCAGCGCCGGTATGTGGGGGTCTGAGCGGCTCCCACAGAGAAATAATCTTTGAAGGCAGGATGGTAATCTGGATGAACTGACTGCACAGACCATGTTTTCAGGAGGACTTTCTCACTTCAACAGAGATTCTAACTACTTTCTACCCGCTGATCACAGCTAATATAGCTGCCATTGTTCCAGGCAGAGAAAGGATAGAGTAGCTCCGCCCACCACGCATCAGAACCACTTTAGCACCGAGCAGCTAGAGCAGCAAAGACGCTTCAGTCGCGCGTCAGAACTAAACTGGTACAAGCATCAGAAATGAAACGTGTTTCTGTTGCTCCTGATGCTTCGCTCTGAATGTAGCATAATCCAGCTGCAGCGCGTTCTCTAATAAGCCCATAGAATAAGCTGATAGAGCAGCTATGGATGCCGCCATGCAGGTCTACTCAGCTTAATTAATTCAACTGTTTGGTGAATGCTCTACTCTACAGTAGATCTTAATGTGTAGAACAGACTGCAGCATGCAGAGCCGCTATGTTACCTGGCTGTAGGGATCACCTCGCTCCTCTTCACTTACAACATCCAGGACGTTAAATGGAACGTAGCCGGACTGGCCGGTGTGATTTCGTAGTTTCCACCACTGCTTGTTATCTTCTAACACCTGCAAGACAGATTTCTTTAACAAGGATCTATTTATAGGGTGATAAAAGAAAAGCAAACGTCTCTTAGCTGTAAATCTATGCTGCATAAATTGTAGATCTAAAGTTTTAACCTCATAGATTTCGTCCTGCAGCACTGATAGCTCGTTGGGATTCCTTGCAACGAAACTGTAAAGGACTCTGGCATATTTACGGTTGCCGGGCATCCCATTGGATGGCGGAAGAGTGTCATAATACTACAAAAAATAGAAATAAAAACATAAAGATGTAAAGATCCAGTTATATGTTCAATAAAGAAATGAAAATGTGAAACAGAACATCTCACATCGTCAGCTGACTGCCTCCTGTAGTCAGGGCTAGCAGGCGACCCGACTGGTCGGGATGGTCCCTCGGTTTCCCATGGAGCCGTCAGGAAGAGCTCCGCAGGCGGCTCCCATCCATTTCGAAACTTGGGGTAATAAGGAGGAGCGCACTGTTCTCTGGGCCACTCTGCCCTGCAGGATGAGAAACGACGGGTTGTTTAAAGAAACCCTTTAAATTCAACAATCTGCACACAAAGACCAACCTGGGTTTAGTCCAGCCGTCACCAAGCTGCTCAAATATGGACATCTCTTTGGGGGTGAGGATTCCCTGCAGGAAGCTGACAGCATCCTTGGAAAGGTGGGGGGAGATGACTGAACGAATAAGTTCAGGACTTCCACACGTCTGCAGCACCTGAGGCCAGAGTTAAAAAGCCTGTTAGTTGGGAGGAAGTGAAACTCAATATCGTCATCGTCATAACATCTTTTTTTTGCATGATTCAGATGAAGTTAATAACATTATTTAATTAAAAGCCTTAAGAAATCTCATTTATCATTTCATTTAAAGAACAGTGAAGACAAAAGAAATGTAAAAAAAAGTTTCTCATCTAAACCGAGATCAAATTTTTTGGCCGACAAGCAAAAAGCTCTTAGCAGATAAAAACAAGCCGACTCTGATGACTCCTCCCTCATTGTGTAGCACGATAGCGGCGGACTCATGATGTGGGACGGCTTCCTCAGGGCAAGATATTAAGACTCTATTGGAAAATCAATAAAGGCAAATGCTGTGCAGTGGAGGTCTTCAAAAGGGGGTCCGCGACCCCTAGGGGGTCCACGGAGATACTGCATGGGGGTCGCTAAAGTTTTGGTTGATTAGATTTTTTTTACACCCCCTCCTACAATTTTTTCCACTAATTAAAATGAAAAACCACGCCCCCCCTCCCCATCGCGCTGCTCTTGTAGACAAATGAAGCTCCCTCGCTCTGCCTGGGGGGCGTTTCTGTCACTCAAGCACAAATACTTTGTTACTGTACTTAAGTACTCTTTTTAGGTATCTATACTTTACTCCATTGCTTATTTTTCTTCCTACTTTTGACTTCTACTCATTACATTTTTACACAAGTATCTTTACTTTCTATTCCTTACATTTTTAAAACAAACGTTAGTCGTTACTCTTGGCTTCGGTTTAAAGCACAGGTCACGGATTAGCGGACTGCGATGTTATGAACAACATTAAATCCAAAGATTGTGTCCGAGGTAAAGCTGATTTATTTGTTGTAGTCTCTTGTTATTCACACACAACAATAAACAGCGATTATCCGACGTGGGTTTTAAAACTGCAAAGCTTTGTCTTCAGCTGAAAATCAAACGCGCATCTACACAGACCAGTGTGATGCATTCGCGAGTGTCAGACAGCTATGGTGCATTCAGGAGCATGGGACATTTCAGACTTACAAGGAAAGAGACAAAAACGGAACAGAACTCATAAAATAATGTATTTATTCAGAGGCAGTGTGGGCTTTCTTATAATACTGAATGCTCTATAATTGTATTTCTGTTATTTTTTGGTTATTCACATCTGCTAGCTTTTTATTCTAAAAAAAAAAGTTTTTCAACAGCCTGTTTAAAAGCTCCAAATTATGCTTCAGATCGTACAGCGACAATTACGCTGTCATTGTTTTACAGGCAGAGTTAGCATTTGCTGAATCTTGTCTTTTAACTACTGATGGATATACAGGAATACAGTCATATGGTCTAAACTCCTCTCAGATAGAACAGGATGCAATATTTGCCAATTTCTATTTTTATTTTTTCATCTTTTTTTTTTTATTCAAAGTAACATGAATGCATAAATATGTCATTTTATTTCAGTGTTAAATTCTGTTTAAAGTAACAGATCATTAAAACTGTGTCTCCTGACATTTACTGGTTGATTATTTTATTCAGACCCCACTGATTTTTTTATTAGTTACCCGTTCTTTAATGTTTCTAAATCTTTATTTCCCGTCATGTGCTCCATCCAATGCAGATCATTGGCTCCGCCCACATCTAGTGAAAACTAGTGTGATTGGATGAGTCATAGAAGGCAAACACTCATTGGTTAGCTAAAGGAAACCATCAGAAGCAAGCAGGTGTTCTTCAAACTGCTAACGTGAATTGTCTATGCCATGCTACAATGTGGGATTCAGAAAAAGATTCTGAAATGTCTGAAAGGTCGGACACAGGCGAGAGCGTATCGGGAGACGGAGACCAACAAGACCTCCCTCATCCTGGGCCCTATCTCAGAGAGTTTATAGAAATAGTCGAAAAATTACTTTACTTTATACTTTTATACTTTAAGTAGTTCTTGGAGCACATACTTTTTCACTTTTACATGAGTAATAAAGTCAAGTTGATACTTCTACTTTTACCAGAGTGTTTTTAAGCTGCAGTATCTATACTTCTACTTAAGTAACAAATGTGTGTACTTTTGACACCACTGGATGAATCTGATTGGCCGGATTTTCAGCTCCTATCCGGTGCCTTTTTGAACCGAGTAACATCCCCTTCGCTTTTTAAGGAGACTTCTGACCCTCTCTGACCTGGCTAACTCTCAGTAACGCCGTTCATGGAGATCTCAGCAGTTCCAAATGTTAGAGAACCATCAGTTTGTTTGAGAGGTTTCTAACTGAGCATTTATTGACACTAGGATCTCTGATTATTTCCCACATTCTGCTCAATCAGACAGACGTTTTCCTTAGCAGGTTTAAACTCAAACTGTTTGTGATTTCTAGCTCTTACCAGCTCCAGAGGTCCGAACAGGAAATGAACCAGTTCAGGAGCGGTTGGGTTCTGTATGTGTTTCTTCAGTTTGGCCTGCAGGGGGCAGAGTGGTGCAGAGTTAATGACCAGAGAGCGGCTGATCGCTGACGGACGGTTAGGAGCTTTGATATCTCACCAACAGGTTGAAGGCTAGCTTCAGTTTCTGCAGACTGTCCAAGAACTCAGCTTCAGGGGGGGGCTTGGCCCGCAGGGTCAGCATGCCCTCTGTGAACAACCAGAACAAAGAGGTCCAGGTTAGCGGGCGTTTCCACCGCAGACGGGACACGCTGTAGGTTTCAGTTTCTGGACAAACACTCCTTTCATTTTCCCAAACCTTTTATTGCTTAAATAGTGCAACAATGGAGGGCAATAAACATTCACCTTGACCAGGGTGAACAAAAAACAAACCCTCCTGTAGAGTTTCATGACCTCTAAGTAAACTGGTAGAACAAAGACTTTATGATCCGGGACATCTTGGATATGAAGCAGGAGTTTGAGATAAGTGTTGATTGCTTCTATCAATCGTCACGTCTATTATATTTACCTTTCCATTGCATAACAGCTTACAGTTAAAAAGAACATTACCAGTTAGGATTAACATTTCTACCAGTATGAATGTAGACTGAAACCAACAGGTGATTCATTGTTGGACCTTTTGAGGACAGACTTGCTTTAAAATCATCTTTGAATTTAGGCGCAGCTCAGAAATCTCAGACTCATTTCAACGTTTAATGAACCAGTTCAGAACCAGAATGTTCACATTTTGGACAAAGAAGACAGGTGGTTTGAGAGGAAGGAAGCCATCTATGTGAAGAAAGAAAAAACAACTTTAAATGGGGGGGAGGGACTCACACATTTCAGCTTTAAAAAAACTCCAATGCAGCGATAGAGTTGGTTGATTCCTTCCCGCTAGAGAACAGAAGACCTCACCTGTTCAGCCAGGCCAACTATTCCCTCTAACGACCCCCCTTTCAGAGACATAGACAGGTATGGGGCATTGCAGGCTAACAAAGAAGCCAAACGACCCCCATTCCAAAGGGGGGGACCCGTTCATCCGTTTCTATTTGCATGTTTTCTAAACCAAAACCAGGCTTTGTTGGGCTGCTGGATAAAACCTGGAACTAAACGCTATTTCTGACATTTTGAATCCTGGATGGAAGAGAAAAGTCTTCAAACTTGGAAACAAAGTCCAGAGGATTGATTTTCATTTTCTTTTTTTGGGAGATCAGAACAAAATATTTCATCAAAACATGAAAGCATTGAAATGCTTTTCCTCAGCACAGCAGTGAAATAAAGCAGTTTATCACTAAGTTCATCAATCTCCAGGTCACTGGTTGACCTAAGCTCCATGTCAAGCTCAGTTTTTAAATTCTTATCTTTGCTGTTTATTTACTCTGACAAAAAAAGATAAATTATTTCCAGATTTAATGATTATCAATATATTGGACCATCTGATGAGATGCAGTATTTAAAGATCCCCATTAGAGACTATTCAATTCCTGGGGTCAATTTTTAACAATTTAAAATGTTTATATATATATATATATATATTGCAAACAGTTCATTCAACAAACTTACAGTAGAAACAACATTATTTAAAAAGACAAAACACACACTAAGTTCTCTCTGGTTAAACAAACAGAATTTCCTTATTAATTAGAGATTTCTTAAGAGACAAAGAAGATGAAGATGATTTAATAGTATAAATGATTTTGTATAAATCTCATATTCTGGTATTTAAATGTGTTTTTTAATGCATTACTTCCTGGATGAGGAGGCGGAGTAAAGCCAGGATTAACAGCTGGTCTGGTATTAAGCCTGTTTCTGCTGGAGTTAGGCTCTAGTTTAGAGAACATGTATCTGTATAAAGTCCATGCAGAGACACCAAAGAACAACAACTCGATCCATTTCTGATGCAACATGGGTTAGAAATGTGCATCCTGGTCTTGCTGCTGGATTCAGAGCTACCTGCCGTCTGCTGAGGTCTCTGCTTTGCAGCATTTGATCACATCATAGATTAATAGTCCAGGTGATATAATGCTGGTAATGTCTGGAACCGGACTGTTCTGGTGAGATGAAAGCTCCTTTATGGCGCATTTCACCGAGTCAGCAGTTGAAACATAACCAGGTCTCATTTAAGAGAGTTTTAAAATTATTAAAATATAAAATTCAGCCGTAGTGTTGGTGAAACATGCAGAAGTCTGATAAATGCTCATCGGTATGGAAGACAAACAGTCTCATTGGAATGTGCCTCTTTTGTTCGCCGAATTTTACTGAATTTATTTACACATTGACTTCATTACATTGAATGTTTATCTGCTGAAAATTCACCTACAAAAAAATTCATTTGGAAATGAGCTCATTTGGTCACGTGACTCAACAGTCGGCATGGCTTTGTTCTCGGCTGAATGAAGCTGAATGAAAAGTTTTTCTTCTTAAAAAAGAAATGATTACTAAACGTCAGGCAGCTACTAATAGACGGCCGTTAGAGTTTTTAACTAATCGGACTGGGTGAAAGAACAGCCGATCACAGCTAGAGCGACACCGCTGTCTGCCAAAACTCTCTGTTTGAGCTGGAAGAAGCGTCCGGCCGCAGAATTAGTTTGATTTTCTGACAAAATGAGCTCATTTCATTGGTTAAAAGCTGCTTAACTGCATCGAGTGCAGATTGCTTTGGCTTGACTTCACCAAAAGGTCAACTCATTTGCAGCTGAATTTTTTTCTGGGGAATTTTCACCAGATAAACATTGACTGTAAGGAATTCAATGTGTAAAAAAATTCAGTAAATTTGGTGAACAGAAGAATGCAGATTCCAATGAGCCTGTTATCTTCCATACCTATGAGCCTTTATCTGACTTTTGCATGTTTCACCAACACTACAGCAACACATTTGCAGTTAAATTTTTTTGCAGGTGAATTTTCACCAGATAAACATTGACTGTAGGGAATTCAATGTGTAAAAAAATTCAGTAAAACAGAAAAAGGCAGATTCCAATGACACGGTTTCCCTTCCAGACCTATGAGCCTTTATCAGACTTTTGCAGGTTTCACCAAATTTTTACCAGATAGAAATTCCCTGTAAGGAATTCAATGTGTAAAAAAAGTCAGTTTTAATAATTCGGCGTACAAAACAATGCAGATTCCATTGAGACTGATTTTCTTCCATACGTAGGAGACAAAGAGAAGAACACGTCACAGTGAGCAATACGTGCATATTGTCACGTGGTTTGAACCACCACAGAAGAAGAAAGGGCGACAGACCTGCTGGTCCTTTCTTCTTGTTCTTCTTACTCTTGTTGCGTTGGTTGAGCTGTGAAAAGGCCTCTGCTGCTTTCTGCAGCCGCCCCACAAACACCTCGATGTCGTCCAGCGCGCAGTTGAGCATTTGCTGCGGAGGGAAAACGGTGAGCAGTAATGATCTAATCAGAAAAGACCTTTAATGGATGTCAGAACTCACCACATCCACTTCAATGCGCTGCGTTAGGTTATCATCCAAATGAGCATCAGTCGGTCCAGCGAGTCGAGGATCTTTGATTCATTACAAAAACAAAAAAACGAGCATAAAAACTAAACTCTGCTGCTAAAACATGTTCGTTTTCCTTTGAGTGCACATGTGGTTTCATGATTCTTACCGTGAGAATCTGCAGCGGCTGCTACTCGCCGGTTGGCCACAGGTGGGGGCCCCCTGGGGGAGGAGGGGGGGAGGATGGTCTCTCTGTGCCGCTTCATTTTCTCCTGGTTCACTCTGAAGAGGAAGAAAATCACATGTTTACAGGAACAGCTGCTACCAAAGTGACAGAAACGGTCAAACATAGAAATGTGAACTAGATCAGCAGCATTATCAGCATGTTTCTTACCTCAGGGTTTCAGCCCTCATCTTCTTCCCATGTTTCAGGTCTCCGATAGCACTGTCTATGTCTGCATGAACCATCTCAGCCTAGAAGGAGCAGAAAATGTTCATGTCTGTTCATATTCCACCGTCTGATCCAACTTAATTTCATTTTTTATAAACTCTGTGTATAAAAAATGGAAATAAAAGCTGTCTAAGTTGTAAAACAAATCTTCAGAGGAAGAACCTCTTAACATCCACCTCATTTTGGGAAATTCTCCCTATTTTGCATAAAAACAAATGGATAAAACTGATTAACTGTAAATTATATGGAGCAACACATTATCTGAAGCTAACAACAGAAAAGGCAGCTCTCATTCTATTACATTAGTTCTACATCATGTCAATTAAAGGTTTTTATGCTTTTTAACTCCTCCTTCAGACCTTTTTTTCTCTTTTCCATGAAAAGTCTTAAAGGCTCTTAAAGGAAATTAGAGTGAAAATCATTCAGTAAAACTGGTCTGTTCCTGTTTGGCTGTGACTCCATCCTGGAGAGAAACATCAGCTGTGCTGCTGCCATCAACACCTTTGTTTCTAGATGTTGGAGATCGGTGAACTGGTGAACTTTAAAGTGACCCGAGATGACATGAGCTGTGAATTGGTGCTATAGAAATAAACTGAATAGAATTGAATACAAATAACCTGAATCTGACCAGAAAAAACAATAAAAATAGCAAAGTTATATTAAGAATCAGAAATACTTTAAAAATCCCAGAGGGAAATTACTTTTGTCACACGCTCCAGTTACAGTTTTATATAATATATACACACATCCAACTATACAATATAATAAAGATAAAGAAAATAGGAATAAAGAGAGAGATACATAGACGTATACCTCTTCTGTATATATATATATATATATATATATATATATATATATATATATATATATATATATGTACGTATATCTATGCATATGTAAAAACTAAGTCCAAATAAAGTGCAAATCCAAGTAAAGTGATACATGGCGTGCAAAAATAGTGCATAAATGTCAATTACAGGGGGGGGAGGGGGTCTAAATCACTTGAGGGAGGCGTTATAGAGGTTGATGACCACAGGCAGAGATGGCAAAAGTACTCACTTTCCGTACTTGAGTAAAAGTACGGATACTTGTGTTAAAAAATACTCTGGTAAAAGTGGAAGTACAGGTGCTGGTCATAAAATTAGAATATCATGAAAAAGTAGATTGATTTCAGTAATTCCATTTAAAAAGTGAAACTTGTATATTATATTCATACATTACATACAAACTCATATATTTCAGATGTTTATTTTGTTTAATTTTGATGATTACAAATGACAACAAATGAAAATCTCAAATTCATCATATCAGAAAATTAGAATATTACTGAAGACCAATAAAAACAAAGGATTTATAGAAATGTTGGCCAACTGAAAAGTATGAACATGAAAAGTATGAGCATGTACAGCACTCAGTATTTAGTTGGGCCTCCTTTGGCCTGTATTACTGCAGCAATGCGGCGTGGCATGGAGTCGATCAGTCTGTGGCACTGCTCAGGTGTTATGATAGCCCAGGTTGCTCTAATAGTGGCTTTTAGCTCTTCTGAATTGTTGGGTCTGGTGTATTGCATCTTCTTCTTCACAATACCCCATAGATTTTCTATGGGGTTAAGGTCAGGAGAGTTTGCTGGCCAATTAAGAACAGGGATACCATGGTCCTTCAACCAGGTACTGGTAGCTTTGGCACTGTGTGCAGGTGCCAAGTCCTGTTGGAAAATGAAATCTGCATCTCCAAAAAGTTGGTCAGCTGCAGGAAGCATGAAGTGCTCTAAAACTTCCTGGTATGTGGCTGCGTTGACCCTGGACCTCAGAAAACACAATGGACCAACACCAGCAGATGACATGGCACCCCAAACCATCACTGACTGTGGAAACTTTACACTGGACTTCAAGCAACGTGGATGAAGTGCCTCTCTTCTTTTCCTCCAGACTCTGGGACCTTGATTTCCAAAGGAAATGCAAAATTTACTTTCATCAGAGAACATGACTTTGGACCACTCACCAGCAGTCCAGTCCTGTTTCTCTTTAGCCCAGGCAAGACGCTTCTGACGCTGTCTGTGGTTCAAGAGTGGCTTGACACAAGGAATGCGACAGCAGAAACCCATGTCTTTCATACGTCTGTGTGTGGTGGTTCTTGAAGCACTCACTCCAGCTGCAGTCCACTCTTTGTGAATCTCCCCCACATTTTTGAAGGGGTTTTGTTTCACAATCCTCTCCAGGGTGCGGTTATCTCTCTTGCTTGTACACTTTTTTCGACCACATCTTTTCCTTCCCTTCGCCTCTCTATTAATGTGCTTGGACACTGAGCTCTGTGAACAGCCAGCCTCTTTAGCGATGACCTTTTGTGTCTTGCCCTCCTTGTGCAAGGTGTCGATGGTCGTCTTTTGGACAACTGTCAAGTCAGCAGTCTTCCCCATGATTGTGTAGCCTATAGAACTAGACTGAAAGACCATTTAAAGGCTTTTGCAGGTGGTTTGAGTTAATTAGCTGATTAGAGTGTGGCACCAGGGGCCATCAATTTTGAACCTTTTCACAATATTCTAATTTTCTGATATGATGAATTTGAGATTTTCATTTGTTGTCATTTGTAATCATCAAAATTAAACAAAATAAACATCTGAAATATATGAGTTTGTATGTAATGTATGAATATAATATACAAGTTTCACTTTTTAAATGGAATTACTGAAATCAATCTACTTTTTCATGATATTCTAATTTTATGACCAGCACCTGTACTGATTAAACTTCTTTACTCAAGTAAAAGTAACAAAGTACAGGCTTGTAAATTTACTACTTTTTTCATGCCGTTGCCTACATTTTAAATGGATGTCTGCCAATAGGACTAGATCTCCGTTGTGTTCATTTTCAATCATCTCGTCGTCCATGCTACTATGCTAACGCCACCGCCACCAAGCTGCAATGATTTGCCGCCAATGAATACCGCCGAATCTGTCGATTCATCTTGTAGTGGTGCGTCAAATGCAACGTAGATTCCCATCCAATTAGATTGAATTTGGTATTGATGACGTGAAAAATAATAACGGTAACTCCATTGAAACGATTCAAAACTAAAGTAACGAGACAATTTTTTAAAATGTAAGGAGTAGAAGTAAAAAGTCGCCATAAAAATAAGTAGTAAAGTAAAGTAAAAATATCAGAAAAATCTACTTGAGTACAGTAACGAAGTATTTGTACTTCGTTACTTCCCATCTCTGACCTCAGGTAGGAATGGTTTCCTGTGGCGCTCTGTGGTGCATCTGGGTGGGAGGAGTCTCCTGCTGAAGGAGCTGGTCTGTTGGACCAGTGTCTCATGGAGAGGATGTGAGTCGTTGTCTAAGATGGACTGAAACCTGGACAGCATCCTCCTCTCTGCCACGGTGGTCAGGCTGTCCCCCCCCACAGCATCACCGGCCCTCATGATCAGTTTTTTAGTCTGTTATTGTCAGCGACCCTCAGCCCACTGCCCCAGCATGTGGCAGCGAAGCAGAGCGTGCTAGCAACAACAGACTCATTAAACATCCTCAGCATCGTCCCACAGATGCTAACGGACCTCAGCCTCCTCAGGGAGAATAGTCGGCTTTGGCCCTTTTTATAGACCGCCTCGGTGTTTCTAGTCCAGTCCAACTGATTGTTGCAGTAAAACAACATTGAGAGATAAAGTAAATCAGACCCACCTCCACCTGATCACAGTGGAAGAAATGGACGTCTGGTCTGGGCTGGTCCCTCTCCTGACAGACCAGCAGCAGCACCGATGGGTAGCGTGTCTGATTGGGAACGGTGTTACTGAGGCAGATGGTGGACAGAGGAAAGTTCTCCAGTTCTTCCTGCATGGAAACCAGAGCAAAGATTCAAATGAAATCAGTCGTTTTCTGAATAAGGAGAAAAATGTTTAGCTTTTATAAAAACTGGTTAAATATTATTCCTTTATAGTCGATTCATTTAGTTTGCTGCAGAATTTTCTAATGCATTTCTAGAAACTTCCCTCCCAGATTAGAGTCATCCACCCTCAAAACCAAACTCCAAAACTAAACTGCTAAAGTAGAATTTATGAGCTAAAAATAGATAAAAGCATTTATTGTTAACTGGTAGGTACAGGGTGATATAGAACCTCTGCTTCTGTTTTAATGTCATTTCCTAAAACCTCATTTACATCTAAGGAGGGGGGGGGGGGGGGATTCACCATCAGGCAATACTAGGCAGCTTCTTACGGCCCCAAGTTCCTGGGGGCCCCATAAAACTCTGTTTCCATGTATGGTTAATACAACTATTCCTTATTTCTGCACATTAATTATGTTTTTGATAAAAATCCTTTAGCTAAAATGCCATCAGAACGCTGATAATATTAAGTGTGTCTCAGCCCCCCCCCCCCTCAGTGTCCACCATATTGGATCAGTCCATTTGCTGCACATGTTCAGAAAGGTCCAAACAGACAGCAGCAAACCATTTGAAAACAAACCATGCAAAGAGCAGTGTTGCCAACTTAGCGCTTTAGTCGCTATATTTAGCCACTTTTCAGACCCCTCTAGCACTTTGATTTCTAAAAAGCTCCTAGCGCCAAATCTAGAGACCTTTTTCTGCTACTGGAGACTTTGGAGACAACATCTAAAAGCAGCGAACTCTGCTCTCCAGAGCGAGTAGATTGGTAACCCCGCCTCCTGCTCTCCTCTATCTTGTCTGCTGTCATGATTCATGCAGCTATTATTTCATCCAAATGAAAAATGGAGAACAGATAAGCAGATCATGGCTTGTCTACAGTGAAAAGAAGGACTGGGTTATTTACTTTGGCCTTTTTGGAAACACAGGAAGGAGCAATCAGCTAAGTGAGCTTAGTGCTTGGAAAAAATCTTTCATTCCTTTAGAGACAGCATGAAAAGTCAGCTGAGTACAAAACATAGAGAGGAAAACAAGAAGAAAAGGGACAAGAAGAGAGGGACACAACCTAGAACAGAGAATGGATGTCTATTCTATTAACATTTCTCTATCTGGAGAATGGGGCTGTTTTATGTGTTGTCTTCTCCATTCAGAGGGCCCCCTGTCTGTCTTTGCCTAGGGCCCCACATTTCCTAAATCCGCCCCTGTCTACATCCTATTTCAGTGCCAATATAAACCAACCTGAGTGTCACAGTCCAGAAGTCTGACTGATCGGTCTGTAACCTGCAGAAGCATCTCCTGGGTCCAGATCTTCCCCCTGGAGTCCAGAAGAATCAGTTTCTTGATGGCGTCGTCTATCGTGCTGATCGCTTCTGACTTGTCCATAACGAATGTTGAGAGATGCTGAAGGAGAAACCACAGATGTTAGCTACTAGAAGCTGCAGCTAGCCAACAGAAAAGGAAGAAAACAAACGTTTGAGTCTTTTTATTGTTCATATACTTATAGAATTAGCTGGAACTTTATTTAAAAGTGCTTTAAAGCTTATTAACTTAAAATAGTGCATCTAAAGCAGAGGTCTGGGATCCAGCTGCCATGGTTTAGCTCTGCAGTCTCTTTCATTAACCACACTTTAAAAACCAACTTGTATCCCTCATAATCCCAGGATTATTATTCCAATGCTGGAATCATCAGAAAGAGAATCTTCCTGCTGTTTAAGTTTAACATTCGTTTATAAAATCCTTCAGTCATTCAGGAAAATACTTTCCAAACTTAGAAGTCTGTCTCTGTGGGCCAGCGTCTCATTTTGTAAATATACTTTGTAAAAAGTCATTTCTGAACACGATTTTAGATTCCCACATTGGCTCAGGAAAGGATTGATTAACGTGCAGAACTTTAGATATTTATATTCCAAGATGACTTCATTTTACAGCAATCAATGTATCTGACTGAGATTTTAGGCCAAAGTACAGCAATAAATCATTACTATGAACATTATGCTAATTTTAAGGCAAGGCAAATTTATTTGTATAACACAATTCAGTACAAAGACAATGCAAAGTGCTTTACATGATTAAAATACAGGAAGATAAAACAGAATCAAAGCAAGTAGGAAAAAATAAAAAACAAATAAAATAAAATAAAAAATGCAGAAACAAAAAAAGAATATTAAAAATAGTTGGATTAAAGAAAACATGTTTTAGTTGAACTGTTTAACTAGAACAGTGGAAGGCAATCCTAAACAAATGTGTTTTTAGTCTTGATTTAAAGGAACTCAGACTTTCTGCACTTTTACAGTTTTCTGGAAGTTTGTTCCAGATAAGTGGAGCATAGGAACTAAATGCTGCTTCTCCATGTTTAGTTCTGGTTCTAGGTCTGCAGAGCAGGCTGGAGCCAGAAGACCTGAGTGGTCTGGAGGGTTGATACACTGATAGCAGGTCTGTGATGTATTTAGGTGCTAAGCCATTCAGAGATTTATAGACTAACAGAAGGATTTTAAAGTCTATTCTCTGAGATACAGGGAGCCAGTGGAAGGACTTTAGAATCGGGGTGATGTGCTCTACTTTCTTAGTCTTAGTGAGGACACGGGCAGCAGCGTTCTGGATCAGCTGCAGCTGTCTGATCCACTTTTTAGGCAGACCTGTGAAAACACCGTTGCAGTAATCAATTCGACTAAAAATAAACGCATGGATTAGTTTTTCCAGATCATGCTGAGACATTAGTCCTTTAATCCTGGAAATGTTCTTCAGGTGATAGAAAGCCGTCCTTGTAATTGTCTTTAAATGCTTTTGGAGGTTCAAGTCTGAATCCAGCACTACACCTAGATTTGAGGCCTGATCAGTGGTTACTAGCTGAAGCCACTGAAGCTGTGTGCTAACTTTAGATCTCTCCTCTATTGGTCCAAAGATTATTACTTCAGTTTGGTTTTTATTCAGTTGAAGGAAATGATGGCACATCCAGGCATTGATTTCTTCTAAGCATTTCCTCAGTGCTTGAATTGGTTCATAGTCACCTGGTGACATGGTGATGTAAAGCTGTGTGTCGTCTGCATAGTTATGGTAGCTGATGTTGTTGTTTTTTATTAACTGAGCAAGAGGGAGCATGTAGATATTGAATAGGAGGGGACCCAGGATGGACCCTTGGGGAACCCCACATGTGATTTTTGTCATCTCTGATGTAAAGTTGCCTACTGACACAAAAAAGTCCCTGTCCTTTAAGTAGGATTTTAAGGCTTTATTATTGGCCTCCTGTAAATAAAAATGTTCTATTATTATTTAATTATATTAGGGTTTGGATGGACGGCCTCTTCTTGGTTCTGGGCCTTTTTAGTGGATTCATGTCTTCTAATGGTTGGTGGTTTGGTAACCTGCCCAGCTTTAAACTGGTTTATCTCTGATCACTAAACCAATTGGTAGCAGTGGATCTTATCTGGAGAAGCGATCAAGAGGCTCTGATAAACACCGTGTGACACATATTATACTGTTTCCTCATTTTTAAACTGTAAAATTATTAGATATTTATTAAAAAAAAACATTTTCACACTTTAGATTGATGCACTGCTTCTCTGGGCGACAGAGGCGTCGGATGTAGGAGTTTAACCTGCAACCGGCCGGTTGACGGTTCAAGTCCGGGATAACTGTCCTTGGGCTAGACACTTCACCTGCATGGCCTACTGATGGTGGTCAGATGGTGGCGCCAGCGTTCCGCAGCCTGGCTGCTGGCAGTGAGCCCCACGGCAGCTGTGTGTAGCTCACCACCTTCAGTGCGTGAGTGTGTGAGTGAATAAGTGTGTGAGTGAATGAGTGAATAAGTGTGTGAGTGAATGAGTGTCAGTGAATGAGTGTGTGAGTGAATGAGTGAATAAGTGTGAGTGAATGAGTGAATGAGTGTGTGAGTAAATGAGTGAGTGAGTGAATGAGTGTGTGAGTGAATGAGTAAATGAGTGAGCAAATGAGTGAATAAGTGTTTGAGTGAATGAGTGTGTGAGTGAAAAGGTGTGTGAGTGAATGAGTGAGTGAGTCAATGAGTGAGTGAGTGAATGATTGAGTGAGTGAATGAGTGTGTGCGTGAATGAGTGTGTGAGTGAATGAGTGAGTGAGTGAGTGAGTGAATGATTGAGTGAGTGAATGAGTGTGTGAGTGAATGAGTAAATGAGTGTGTGAGTAAATGAGTGAGCAAATGAGTGAATGAGTGTGTGAGTGAATGAGTAAATGAGTGTGTGAGTGAATAAGTGTGTGAGTGAATAAGTGTGTGAGTGAATGAGTGTGTGAGTGAATAAGTGTTTGAGTGAATGAGTGTGTGAGTGAAAAGGTGTGTGAGTGAATGAGTGTGTGAGTGAAAATGTGTGTGAGTGAATGAGTGTGTGAGTGAATGAGTCAGTGAGTGAATGATTGAGTGAGTGAATGAGTGTGTGCGTGAATGAGTGAGTGAGTGAATGAGTGTGTTAGTGAGTGAATGAGTGAGTGAATGAGTGTGTGAGTGAATGAATGAATGAGTGAATGAGTGTGTGAGTGAATGAGTGTGTGAGTGAATAAGTGTGAGTAAATGAGTGTGTGAGTGAATGAGTGTGTGAGTGAATGAGTGAATAAGTGTGTGAGTGAATGAGTGAGTGAATGAGTGTGTGACTGAATGAGTAAATGAGTGTGTGAGTGAATAAGTGTGAGTGAATGAGTGTGTGAGTGAATGAGTGAATAAGTGTGTGAGTAAATGAGTGTGTGAGTGAATGACTGAATAAGTGTGTGAGTGAATGACTGAGTGAATGAGTGTCAGTGAATGAGTGTGTGAGTGAATGAGTGTGTGAGTGAATGAGTGTGTGAGTGAATGAGTGTGTGAGTGAATGAGTGAGTGAATGAGTAAATGAGTGTGTGAGTGAATAAGTGTGTGAGTGAATGAGTGAATAAGTGTGTGAGTAAATGAGTGTGTGAGTGTGTGAGTGAATAAGTGTGTGAGTGAATGAGTGAATAAGTGTGTGAGTGAATGAGTGTCAGTGAATGAGTGTGTGAGTGAATGAGTGAATGAGTGTGTGAGTAAATGAGTGAGTGAGTGAATGAGTGTGTGAGTGAATGAGTAAATGAGTGAGCAAATGAGTGAATAAGTGTTTGAGTGAATGAGTGTGTGAGTGAAAAGGTGTGTGAGTGAATGAGTGAGTGAGTCAATGAGTGAGTGAGTGAATGATTGAGTGAGTGAATGAGTGTGTGCGTGAATGAGTGTGTGAGTGAATGAGTGAGTGAGTGAGTGAGTGAGTGAGTGAGTGAATAAGTGTGTGAGTGAATAAGTGTGTGAGTGAATGAGTGTGTGAGTGAATAAGTGTTTGAGTGAATGAGTGTGTGAGTGAAAAGGTGTGTGAGTGGATGAGTGTGTGAGTGAAAATGTGTGTGAGTGAATGAGTGTGTGAGTGAATGAGTCAGTGAGTGAATGATTGAGTGAGTGAATGAGTGTGTGCGTGAATGAGTGAGTGAGTGTGTGAGTGAATGAGTAAATGAGTGTGTGAGTAAATGAGTGAGCAAATGAGTGAATGAGTGTGTGAGTGAATGAGTAAATGAGTGTGTGAGTGAATAAGTGTGTGAGTGAATAAGTGTGTGAGTGAATGAGTGTGTGAGTGAATAAGTGTTTGAGTGAATGAGTGTGTGAGTGAAAAGGTGTGTGAGTGAATGAGTGTGTGAGTGAAAATGTGTGTGAGTGAATGAGTGTGTGAGTGAATGAGTCAGTGAGTGAATGATTGAGTGAGTGAATGAGTGTGTGCGTGAATGAGTGAGTGAGTGAATGAGTGTGTGAGTGAGTGAATGAGTGAGTGAATGAGTGTGTGAGTGAATGAATGAATGAGTGAATGAGTGTGTGAGTGAATGAGTGTGTGAGTGAATAAGTGTGAGTAAATGAGTGTGTGAGTGAATGAGTGTGTGAGTGAATGAGTGAATAAGTGTGTGAGTGAATGAGTGAGTGAATGAGTGTGTGACTGAATGAGTAAATGAGTGTGTGAGTGAATAAGTGTGAGTGAATGAGTGAATAAGTGTGTGAGTAAATGAGTGTGTGAGTGAATGACTGAATAAGTGTGTGAGTGAATGACTGAGTGAATGAGTGTCAGTGAATGAGTGTGTGAGTGAATGAGTGTGTGAGTGAATGAGTGAATGAGTGTGTGAGTGAATGAGTGTGTGAGTGAATGAGTGAGTGAATGAGTAAATGAGTGTGTGAGTGAATAAGTGTGAGTGAATGAGTGTGTGAGTGAATAAGTGTGAGTGAATGAGTGTGTGAGTGAATGAGTGTGTGAGTGAATGAGTGTGTGAGTGAATGACTGAATAAGTGTGTGAGTGAATGACTGAGTGAATGAGTGTCAGTGAATGAGTGTGTGAGTGAATGAGTGTCAGTGAATGAGTGTGTGAGTGAATGAGTGTGTGAGTGAATGAGTGAATGAGTGTGTGAGTGAATAAGTGTGAGTGAATGAGTGTGTGAGTGAATGAGTGTGTGAGTGAATGAGTGAGTGAATGAGTAAATGAGTGTGTGAGTGAATGAGTGTGTGAGTGAATGAGTGAATAAGTGTGTGAGTGAATGACTTAGTGAATGATTGTCAGTGAATGAGTGTGTGAGTGAATGATTGTGTGAGTGAATGAGTGTAGAGTAAAGTGCTTTGGTCAAGTCTCCTGACTATATAATTAGAGGCCATTAACCATTTACTTCCTGTTGGTCAATTATTAAAATTCCAATAAATTTATTAAAATTTAAATTTCATTTCCTTTATTTTTTTTATGGAAAAAGTAGAAAGATAAAAATAAAAAGTTTTGAAAGCATGAATTGATTTTTGAAGGCAGTGTTTGTTATCTGATTGTTATAAAATGTTAATGTCAGTTGGTTCTGTGGCTTTAAATGAGATTAAATTCAGCTTCACTGAAGCTTTTATATTTGGCCAGAAATGATTCCTGAAAATAAAATAATTACCAGCTGTGATGTCATCTAAAGGCTTCCAGGTTTTCCAGGTTTTCTTTCTCTCTGATATCATCTTTAATGCTCTGAGGGAACGAATCTGCTAGCAGAAGTAGAACCACCCCCACACCTAATGCTACCAAATAAAAAAACTATCTGTTCTCTCATTAACAATGCAATACTGTAATACCCATTACTAATAGTTTATTAATATTATTTATTAATATTTATTAATAAATCCAGATTTTACATCTTTGGGTGAAATTTGAGTTTAGGTCTTTTTATTGCTGCTTTTAAAAGCAGCAGCGGAGCCTCGGTCTCATGACCTGCACATGTGCAACAATAAAGAGGCGTTTCATCTAAATTGGTTGGAACAGAGTTCAGAGGCAATGACTGACCAACAGCACGTCTTCCAGCGGCGTAGACGCCCGACACGCCCGCTTTCACAGCGCTGATTGTTTTATTATACGCTCTTGTAAATCTCAGACATCATGATGTGAGCTTTAATCTCTGGTCTAAAGAACAGACCAGGATAATTTCATGATAGACTCTTTATCTTCCTCCTCTGTGACCAGCAGCTGTTAACAGGAAATACATTCATAACCCTAACCCTTTAATTAATAAAGCTTTTCTAACTCTTTCCTTTCCCCCTATTTATAACCACATCCTAATATGCATAGTTTACTTAAAAGGAACCAGGTCGAAAACGTAGAATTAGATATGAATTAATTAATTAATTCATTCATTATTAATGAATGAATGAATCAATAAATGAATTTTTTGAAGTGCCACACTGGCTTATAGAACTCTACAAACAAAAACAGGAAGATATAACTTCATAGATGCTAAATAACAGACTTTTATAGATCAAGCTCAGTTCTCTTAATTACTTATTACTTATATTAATTTTCACATTAGGCATTTAAGAAAAAATTACCTTTTTTCCAGGTTTTTACAGATTTTGTGAAGCAAAAAATACTTCATGCTCGGGTTTTAATTATCTTTATCTGAGCGGCCTGTGATCCAGCAGTGCTTTATTAATACTTAGAGTTAGTTTAATCCAATAACTTAAAGATCTAAACCAGTAAGAAAAGCCAACTGTTGCCTCTGATGTCATATACTTAATATGGATCATTACTAAATAAACTAAATCTTTATTTTACTTTTCTTCTTTTAAGCCTTAGTGTGATTATTATGTTAAAAATAAAGTTATGGTCATTTAAAGATACATAACTGTAATTTTCTATCAGTCATTGCAGAGATCAGTTGAATCACTTCATAAGATAAAGTATTTAACTTTTAAATGACAAAATTAAAGCAATTATTAAAACATTCTTTTTTTTTTTTGTAATATCCAAAATAAATGAATCTTCATAGTTTTTGGTGTTTTCATAAGTTTCCAGTGAAAATGTTGCAGAAACAACAAATTAGGCCAAAAGGCAACATATAAAATTAATCTTAAATTTAGGAGCTTCTGATTTATGCTTTAAATATTCAAAGACGGAGGAAAAAACACCTTCTAGAAAATTTATTTACATGCATATAATATATATCCTCTTCTAACACGTCTCTTTAGGGACACTCGGATATAAACGCTATGTTTCTATATTATTGCACTTTTATTCGGCTCCTGGGAGGGAAAAATAAACTGCGACAGACAGACTGAGACACTGCCAACTATTCCTAAACATCGGAATATAAAGTCTGGAATATCAGGTTAAATCAACTCTGAAGCTTCCAACCAAAAGGGCTAAAATCCACAGAATGTTTTATGGTTCAAAACAGTCTGAGAGAAAAATGTTTTTCTCCTTGAAATCATTGAAATAAAACACAAGGAGCCCTATAAAAAAAAATAGAAATCCAGAACTTTGGTCCTTTAAATGAACAGGTAATGTTTGATTTAGTAGCAGTGAAACGTCCCTCTTCTCCTCATGAACCACAGAAGCCTGATGGCCCCCACCACCCTGCAGGTGTCTACCATCACCACCAGTTAGACCACTTCAAAGATCACAAATAAAGTTAAGACCTAAGCCTAAACCTAACCTAAGCCTAAACCTAACCTAAACTTAAACCTTTTCAAGAACATTTCAAAGACAGGCTGTAAATATCGAGCAGAAATACAGACGTTACCAAATCTATGTAAACATAAAAATAACCTATTTTCTTTAAAACATATAATTAGAACAACAGATACTTTTCAAAACAGTTTATGCTTCATTCATTCATCTAAATTCTAAACTTTAGGATTAAATCGTCAATCAAAGAGACTTTACCTCAACATGATACTGCGACGTCTCATGAGTGATAAAGTTGGAGTTGGAGTACTTTTTCCGCTGCTCTGTAGGAAAGAAAAAGAATATTTTTATTTTCTGCAGGAAAATTGTCCTTTTTTCCCGTAAATATAAAGAACGGCAGGACTGACCGTGACCCCACATGTTGTTTTAGAAGAGAGAAGAGGTGAAAGGAAAAAGTAATGCGTGAGCTGAAAACAACACCCAGCAAATAAGGAAGTGAACCAACGCTGGAAACCTTTTTTTTTTTTATCTGAGTCAGATTCAGATTGGTCACACAGATAGGAAGGCAATCACTTCAGAGACTTCATGTCATGTTTTTCCTCTGGTGACACAAACTACTCAACCTTAGCAAATAAGCACAATAAGTAAAAAGTGTCGCGATCCAAAGAAGCAAATCTTGATAAAAGTTAATCCTAAATCCCAGTAAAGCGTCTATCTAGATCTGCCTTCCAACATCTCATAATGTTGTCAGAGTTGGCATTGAACAGGCTGGGCTGGACTCATAAGCTCAGATTTATTATAGGTTCAAAGATCAATGAGAACCATGGCCTTACTTCCGCCTTCATAAAATCTAACTATAGATCTAAGATTCTAGACAGACTTTAAGAAATGAAGTCCATCATTCTATGATTATTCTTTACAAATGAGGCAAAGTTCTAGTATTTCCTGAAGGAACAGAGTAAAAGTTTTAATCTACTTTAAAGCAAAATCTAAAAAGTCTGCAGATTTTCTTTGACATGGAAAGTTTAAAATAGATGAGTTTTCTAATAGCAGAGTCTATAAAACTGAATGTTTTCCAAGATGTTTAACGGTTTATTACAGGCGACTCCTACAGTTACTCAGCATTAAGGATGCAACCAACGATTATTCTGCCAATCGATTAATCAGTCGATTATTTATTTGATAAATCGATTAATAATCTGATACCCAAAGGTTTTAAAGAAGACTTTTTAGGAAATTAAACAAGTTAAAACTAAAACTTTTCCACTTGAGGAGTTCTGGATTATAGAGCAGACTGACAGACTGAAAAATTGTAATCTTAAATTCAAAATGTTTATATATTTTTTTACAATCTTGGTATAATTCATTCTCCTGCTATATATATATATATATATATAAATATATGGAGGTCCATGTATATATATATACACGGACCTTTTCTTCCATTGGCACCTTCTTCTTCTTTTTGACAATTTGATGTAACAAATAAATTTCTCGACTTTGAGCTTAATGAAGTCAATCAATCAATAAAATCCCTCGTAGGAATAGATGTTGCAAATTAGCCGCTGGCTATAAACACTGTGATAAAGCATCGGATTATTTTTGTAAGAATTATCTATGTTTCTTTCTTTTTATCTGCCTCTATCAAATTAATATTAAATAATGTAAATAAATCAATAATCATTTATTGTACCACAGTGGGAAACGTTTTCGGTAGCAAGAGGCAAGTTTACAACAGAAGAAAATGAAATACTGAACAGTTATCAAGGACTGCAATCTCAGAGCATTGAAAGGAGACTTAAAACATTTACAACATCTGTACGTTATAAATCTATGTTAAAAATGGCTACCGCTCCATAGAGCATCTGGGAAGCAATATCCCCTCCATGGAAGAACCCTCCAGCTAAGCAATAGCTTCATGGATGATTTTTCAAAGGAGGGGAAGTTTGAGAGCATCATTAGCAATTAATGGAAAACAGAAGAAAAAAAGAGAAAGACATGATGTGCAGTTAAGAAAATTAGGACACTAAAAAATGATTTCAGTCTGCGTCTACAAGCTGAACACATCTAGAATAAAACCTTTTGTTGGAAAACAGCTGAATCCAATCCACCAGGATTTTGTCTTTGCTGCTAAAAGGTGAATTTCCTGCTCGGCCTCAAGCCTTTGCAGACTCCTGCAGTTTTTATTTGATGATTGTCCAAAATTTAATGTCAACAGACTTCCCACCAACAGTAAGCATCCTCCTGGAATGATGCTGCCGTCACTGTTTTTGTTTTATGTTCTTGGCAAATTAGTTTAGCATGTCGCCAAAAAGTTCTAACAAAGACTTCGTCTATTTAGGGCAGATTTGTGGAGCCTGCCAGCAGCCAGACTGATGAGCTGCTTTCTGAATAACGTTTCCTTTACTGAGGCTGTCAGGTCTTTGCAGCTTTGCCACACTCTGTTTCCCTGAAGTGGAAGTTAGATTTTCAGATTTTTAAAATACCCAAAATCTGTTTTAAAAACCTTTGCGACACAAAACAATGTATTGCAAATGTATGTATGATCTTTGTTTCTAGATGTTGGAGCTTGGCCTGTTTTCCAGTGTAGTCCTGTTTCTCTGACTGTGACTAACTGGATGTGCTCTCTTCATCCTCTGACATGGGAGCTGGCTCGGAGCTCGTCTGCCTGGCTGTGTGTTTCCTGGACGGGGCCGCCTGTGGAGCTGGTTGACAGTTGCCTTTTGTATCTATGCTTCTTTTTCTATGTCTGCTTCTGTCTCCTTGAACCCCAGTGGGCCTCAGCAGATGGCCGCTCACACTGAGCCTGGTTCTGCTGGAGGTTTCTTCCTGTTCAAAGGGAGTTTTTCCTCTCCACTGTCGCTACAAGCATGCTTAGTGTGAGGGATTGCTGAAGAGTCAATGAGTCGATGCAATCAGCTGGTTTTCCTTAGATAGGAAACTTTGAATCAATCTGACTGGATGATCTGGTTGATCTGGATCTATAAAGTGACCTGAGATGACATGATGGGAATTGGAGCTATAGAAATAAACTGAATAGAAAACAAAGAACACATAAAAACTGTCCTGTAAAAAAGAAAAATCAACAAAAAATAATAATTTGCTTCAGTCTGAGGTTTTTCAGGCATCTTCAGCTTAAATTTAGACTCTGATTTTCCTCAACTTCTCGCCTTAAAGAAGCTTTGCCTAAAGGATGAAATGAACATGACAGAAACATTTCTAACATTATTTTTAATGTATATATCTGTTTAGATTGGTTTTTTTTTTTGATAAAGCTTTGATATAACATGTTGGGAATTGGAGTTATAGAAATAAACTGAATAGAATTGAAAAAAGCTTTTTATTCATATCCTAAACCAAACTGTTTGTTCTGGAATGATTTCTAAAAAGCAGCTTTATTTATAGAGAGATTAAATTACACAGCAGTGTTCATAAAATCCTAATCCAAACCAGGACACATTGTTTTTTTAGCACTTAACCCTTTTTTACTTCTAAAAATTTAACTCATTGAATTTTCAAATCCATAAAAAAAGTTTTTTAAAGTGAGTAAAGTTTATAATCTCTCAGCACCGAAACAAAACAGGAATAAACTTCGGAGGCCATTTTTTTTTCCTGCCCACATGGCAGCACTCCAGACCTGCGTTGCGTGAGCGGCTTAGATCACGGCTGATGGTGGATGAGCTCACCAAAGTGCTCTGACCCATTTAGCAGCTGAATAATGTAAAAGGAAACAAACGTTCCAATAAAGTCGCGCCGTAGCTCTCATATCACATCTCTCTCCTCTGCCTCACAGAGTCAACATCCAGGGTTTTGTGTTCATACAGATAAATTCCCTATGGTGCACTTTATGCTGACAGCATCAAAAAAGACTCGATATTTGCAGAACGCTTAGGAAAATGTAGGTCGAGGTTCACAGGTTACATTTCAATATTTACCCTCATAATGAAGAATAAAGCTGGGATTAAAGAACAGGTTAGTTTAAACCATCCAAATGATGCAGACTCATTGTCTTATCTGTTCCTTCCATTTCCTTCCTCCTTGGCGCTCCACAGGTGAAACAGGCATCAGGTGTCGCTCTGAAAGCTGAGCTCCACTGATGCCTTATTAATGACCCACATTCATTCCAATCAGTTTGCAGCGTGTGAGCGAGCGCAATAAGAGCCACTCAGCCAGCAGATGGGGCGATCTGCAGAAGAGTCAATGATAAAACACGGCGCCCTGGCAGGTGACCAAAATCCTCCATGAGTCTATCAGACGATCATTTAAAGCCACTTTACACCCAGCAGGTTGATGTTCCACCTTAAACGATCAAAACCGACTAAAACTGAGCAATTAAATCTTCTCTAGTTTGATTTATGAAGAAAATTCCTTTTATTTAGGAACAAACCGCAAAACTAGGAAACATGAAATGTAATTTCTCCTGTTCTTAGGATAATTTTTTAATTGACTTTAGTATTAATTTTAGTGTTAATTGTTGATAGTCTTCAGATCTTATAAAGTTTTAAAGTGACGGACAGAATTCAGAATTCATCGTTCTGTTTTCCATCTTAATAAATCTAATCTGATCAAAAGGAGAGAAACTGCTTGTTGAAATTAAAAAAGCTTATTTTATAGTATAAATGTGATTGTAGATCAGCTTTGATGATGATCCGCCATAACCTTATAAAAAGACTTAATAATCATAACATTTAATTTGATCTTTGATTTTTTTTTTGTAAAGCTTTTACCTTAAAATGTGACTAATTCTAGTTTTTTTCCTCAAACACTTTAGAATAAGATGATATAAAAAACTAAACTTTAACTTTTTCTTGCCTTTCATGAGTGATAAATTATATTAATAGGAGCAGCGGTGATGTCACACCTGAGAAGATGGGGTAAAATAGGATATAAAAAAATTAAAGGAAAAAAATATTAAAAATGAACTTTTAGCATCTTATCTTAAAGGTATACTATGCATGTTGATTTTCCAGCGAGACTCCCCCCAGAGGGCGAAAGTAAAAGTGCACTGTGGTAAATACACTCAGCTGTTTCTCCGTCAAGCCAGGCGCGGTTGTTTTGAGCTTAGCAGACAGGCGAACGCAACGAATCACCATGTCTACTGCGGTAAGTGACTATTTTGTTCCAATTTTCGAGTCTGAAAATTCTCGCTGGTTCCGCCATGATAACTGGACAAATATGGCCACTGCGCTAGCAACGAGCATGCCTTCCACTGGGGGCGTGTAGCAGTTCTCGCCGAAAAGCAAGACCGACTCTTGCGATGCAGGAGACTTCTGAGCCTGTGGGTGCAGGCCGAGGGCTCCTGCTATTGCAAGTACGGTATTTCCCATACAGACCACCAGGGCTGCTTAAAAAACCTTTGTTCGACCTGAAATGACTCATTTAATCATCCAAAATGTTATGGAACACATTAACTAACTCAAAAATGTTGCATAGGATGCCTTTAACCACTAACAGAGTTAGTGCTGCTAGCGTTGAGACGACGGACCTCGTGTGGAGAATCCAAACATTTACCTTCATAATCTAAAATGTTTCCTCCAGTTTGGAAGCTGCAAACATTAGCAGAGGAACTTTTTCTGCATCCCATCCAACCTTCCCTTTTTCCACTGGAACACTCGTTATCTCACAGCCGTCATTAATGACACGTATTTGTTTATAGAGCTTT